TGCTCCGCAAGGAGCCGGACTTTTTTTACTACGGTTCTTGAGGTGAAAACGGGTGTAGTGCTGCGCGTCTTGGTCATCTCGGTTCTTTGTTGGTCTGTACCAAAATGTAATCGACAAAAAAAGCTGCTTGAAGCACTGTACATTTTTCACCCATTACGTCCAAGGTGATAACATTCTTTTGCGATTATATTTCTATTACGTTACTGGAGCCTCGCACACTAACTCCCGAGTGTGCGATGCAAAATTAAAATGAGATACCCAGAAACCAGGGTGTCGAACCGGAACCGAAGCGAACCAAAAACCGGAACCGAACCGGTATTTTTTCCGGAACTGAACCCGAACCGTTATACTGTTATTGCGATGAACCCGAACCGGAACTGACCCGGAAACAAAAAAAACGGTTACCGGCTCATGTCAAAACGGTTCGGCCACGCGCTGTTGACAATGAATGTGCTATCAATGCCATTTGTTTTTTAAGTGCCGTCAACTGACACACACCTCGCTTACATATTTATCCTCTCCACTCAGTCTTAGGAATATAAACGCTGCATCCATGAATCTTGACAAACACTGCATCCATGAATCTTGACAAACGCTGCATCCATGAATCTTGACATAGGAACCAGTATTGCGCTGATCGCGGCTTGCACAGAAGAAAAAAAAAATTGAAAAGCTATGCAAAAGAAAAAAAAATTGTGTCACGGGATTTTATTTTTCTACAATCTCGTAAATCATAAATGCTGCTGTGTGCTCATTTCATAACACGTTTCTAGAATGTGCGAGTTCTTGAAGCTTGCTTCCATCGGAATGAGAAAAGAAAAGGCTGTGGAGTTTGATAATAATGCATCCAGTTTCGTATAGGCCCTTAGAAGCTAACATATTTGTGAGACAGCGAACTGTTCTATTTTAATATTTATCCTATTACGTCCTTCTGGCGTTGCGTTCAATGAAGTGTTTTTCATGTTTCGTATCTTGTTCAATAAAAACTTCTTTAAGGGTCTAATTTGAGTTACCGAAGGCTAGTTCAAATAAAGAAAGCTGTATTTTCTCCCCACTGTTCCTTCAATTGCTTACACGCCGAGGTGGCGGGATAGTTAGCGAGTTCTACTTGTAAGTGGGTTTGTAAGGAGGTCGCGAATTTCACAGCTACTGCGTCGGACCCAATTAGATGAAGTCCGAATGCGTAAACGTCGGTGAGGTAACCTTTGAGTGCACACAAAGAAACAATTCCTGGTAGAAATCCCTGAGCCTTACACTACGATGTATCCCATTTGGTATGTGCTGATTTCAGATGTTTTATTTGTAATTTATTTTGATGTTGCAATTTGTCATTTATGATTTCCGAACCGGTTCGCGAACCGGTTCGTGGATCGAATTAATCGAACCGGAACTGAACCAGAACAAAATAAATTTACCTGAACCTGAACCGTAACCGAACCTTATTTTTTTCGGTTCGACACACTGCCAGAAACCCATTGCAGGTGCCCTGAGGTTACTGACGCAAATTTTGAGGAATGTATTTGGAAAAGTATTTGGACGAGATCAAATACATTTGGTTGAATTTTGTACCTAAATGCTTTTTTGGAAATATAACTGGATTTGTAATTAAATACATTTTTGACGAGGTATTTTGTATTTGTATTTCGATACATATTTGCATGCATGCCCATCCCTGCCGACAACTAATAAATATTGAGGAAAACGTTTTCACCAACCACAACCATGATTACTGCAAAATACCGGGGGACTGCCCACTCCCACTGAAAACTGGATTAATCTTCACTCACTTCTTAGTTGTCATCAAATAAAATATCTAATGTCTCCAAAAATATTTTTGTAACCTCTGCTTTTCAAAAGGCACACTCCACCTTCGAGTTTCACGAAATAAATTAACCATACATGGAGTTACCTATACTCGTAGTTAATGCATAAAAACCAAATTTTTGTGCTTAACCATTTGCTGCACAAAGTAGTTCTTAGAAGGTTTGGTTGTTGAAGGAAGGAACAATGCTTTTGTCATTTGAAGCATGTATGTCTTGATAAAATAACAAATTGAATCTAGATGCACCTACATGGTATATTATCATTGATCACATGAAGGGGGAAATTAGTAACGTTCCACGAGGAGCCGGGATTTTTTAACTGCGGTTCTCGAGGTTAATAGAGAGTCTTAGTAGATCGTTCTGATACCCCTGTTAACGAGACCCGAGAACAATACGATGCATGTGCAAAGGCGGCGGTGGAGTGTCAGGTATCGTTATCGGAACGACCTACTGAAACTCTCTATTATGAGTATAGCTGCCGCTGTATGGCAAATTTATTTGCACTTTATTGAAGATGAGTCTCATTTATTTGGCTCACAATGTACTGGGAGTCCTGGCTTATAATTTAAAATGCAGCATATTAAGAAAAAGTACACATAGGAAGAAAATCAGTTTCAATATTTTTTAATGCCATTACTTTTGCTACTGGAGCAATTTTTCAATGGCCTTTGTTTGTTGTCTGGCGTGAACTGAAATAAACCAATTCTGGGGGGACTGTGAACCAGTAACTGCTCTACTGTCAACACCCAAAAGAATAGAATTAAACCAATGTCAATGTTATTATGAATACTGAAACCGTAAATGAGCCAGTTTTTTTTTTTTGGTAACCTGTTTTTTCTTTTTCTTTTGCTATTAACAATAGTAGCTGAATCGTAGCTATTAACGTGAATCAGCATCGGCACTACTCCAGTTATGTAAAGGTTGCCTGTCTCTAATGTTTCAATTACTTTTTTTCTTTTCTTTTATATATGACCACAGATTTTGAGTTTCTGTACTTCCAACAAAATTCACAAGATCTACAGAAGAACTCTGGATCTGGAGGAATTGGCTACAAGAAACATGTTTTAGTAAAGGAATTGTTCCAAGCCTTCAGATCTGTAGTTTCATAAGGAAAAGCTACCTTGTGCAGTGGTATTCCTTTCAGACTGCAGCATATCCTTGCAAAAACCAATATTGTATGCACCCCTGCTGGTTCCAGTCAGCGGAGGCAAACATATGTTAATTACGCTCGGCTCATGGGACACTGATGCATCCACAAAAACACACCAATTTAGTGCCTCTTTATTAAGGTAAAAACTTACCTTCACTGCCACCGGGTTAATTCCTAAACGAAGGAAAGCATTCTGAATTTCATACGTTTCAATTTAATTATCAATATTTCATTTCATTTGATTACCTTAAGGGCCTCTAGAGGGAGGCATTACATAAGAGGGGTGTCATATTCAATGTTCGAAAACACGACAACAAAACACTAAAAAAAAAGAAAAACAAAATTAAGGAAAGTTTAGGAAACATCATCATAGAAACATTATTCAAACATTTTAGAAATCAGCTGCAAAAAAAATGTGTGGTCATTGGTAGTTGCCAAGCTTGTGGGCAAGCTATGCATAATGGAAGAGGTAATTATGAATGTGTCGGTTCAACTTTACAGGAATATCATTTTCAACTTTCTATATTTACTACACCAGTTCAAGAAGTCACTAATTTCACCTACAAAAATAAATGCTGATCTCTGTTGGTCAATTTGAGGACTAGAAATATGCCAAGCCAACAAGCTCTACATGAGGTAGAGACAGTTTACGCTATCCAGGAGACAAGAGACAGGTTTTCTCACAAACCGGTACCTGACGTAGTGTTCAGCAAAATAGGGTGGCAGAAGAAAATTAAATAATACTGGTGGTAAGGTGGGGTTGCATAGCATATGTTACCAAGAAATATTATGTGAGTGGCATCTAATAACACAACAGGGCTCACAGATATATCCAGCATGCAGCAGGGGGGTGACTGACCTCTTGACACTAGTCACAAAAAAAGGTTTAAAAAAAAATGAAAAAATATGCAGGTACCAAAAACACTGCAGGCCACAAAACACAAAATTTCTACCTAACATAAATAAATATATATATATATATATATATATATATATATATTTTTTTTTTTTTTTTTTTTTTTTTACTTTTTAAGTACGTCTGCGGTTCTAATACAACACACGAGGTGGGGAATTCGCGTTTAAATCGAACAGAATATAAACAGTAACATAAAAAGCATCAGCAGTGAAAAAGTAGGAAAATGCCCCAAATTGACGCCATGAACCTTGTCAAATATAGACTTCATCTTGCACATTTTCGCGTACCCCAGCACACAGCTGCACAAATCTTCCTGCGATGCGGCCACAAGTTTCGCTCGCTGCGCTAAGAAAAACAAGCAGCAAGGGAACCCCAGATCCGCTCAGTCGGCCTCGTTGATTTCCGATGCGTACACATGTGAAACGCCTGTGCATGTTCCGTGAGCCACGAGGGTTCGCCTAAATATAACCCGTCGAGGGCGACCCGTGCGTCCGTCTGACAAGCATTCGGCCGGAGTGCCACGGGAGGTGCGCGCGGGCCACGGGCACTACCAGCGGGGACCCCTGTTTGATATGGAGACGGAATGCGGGATCGCGATGGTGCGCGCCAATCGCTCGAACACCCGAATGCTGCGGGCGGTCGCACTGCGCGCAGCGCGGAACTGCCAGACAGGTGCGCTGCCGACCTGGGACTGCTGGGACCGTCAAAAGTCGCGCGCGCGTCACGGCGTCGATTGATGCGGAGGCTGTGCACGCATCCGAAACAGCTCCCGAGGATGTGACCCCGTTCAGTTCGGAGTGCCTCGCAACTTTGTGTCCGCTGTACGCGGAGTTGTCAGTCGGGACACCTCCGCGCGACTCTTTCGCTCGGTCCGAGGGGGGTGATGCCCGTGCTCAGTGGAGAAGCAGACCCACAGGGGCAGTGCTCGTGCAAAGCAGCGCAGACACCGGCGCTGCCCGGGGAAGTCCCGTTTACTATGGATAGGCTGTCCGGAACCGCGCACGATCCACGTTCCGTGCAGCAAAACACCGTGGCCCGAGCGTAGACGACGGCGGTAGGCCTAGCTTGCGTGACCGGCCATCGGGGCCTGACAGGGGGGGCCATGTCTCACCTGGGTCGGAGGTCCGCAGAGAGACGAGAAGAGCCACTAGTAGGCATGTTTTCTTCACAATCATCTCATCGGGATCCCTGGGACGAAAACAAACGTTCTCCTTGGAATAACCTAGGTATAACCACTGCTGCCCAGAGGGAAGTTCTCTTCCAGGACGACTTGGATTTCCAACATTTGCCGGGGTCCACAAACCGCAACGCTACCTCGCCAGCCAATCGTAGCGCATTTGACGAGACAACACGGGAGCCAATCAGCACGCAGCTAACATCACACCGGAGGAGCGAGCAGCAGATAGCAGGCGCGCCAGCGATGCCGCGCATCGTCCGCACGAATTATAGGGGCGCTTCAGTCGGGCCCCCTAGCGATGAGCCGCAGATGACGTCGAAGACACCAGGCGCACCAGCCATCCTCACCACGCGCTTGACCACTACGCCGGACAACCACCCGGATACCTACCTGCTCGCTCCGATGTAATTGTCTTCAGCTCCTAATTCCTACATGGTGGTTACATGTATTGAAATAGAATACGACAAACACGAAAACAAAAGGTTTGCGTTTTGAATAGAAATTGCCCTCCTCGAGACCTGCAAGTGAAAAAAATTCTCCCACTCCAAAACTTCCATTGCATTTTTATCGATAGAAAAAATCTATTTTTACGGCAACATGTCACACAAAGCAGCCTGTGCAGCCCAAGTGAAATTTATTCTCGTCGTATAAACAAGGGAAACATGACTAAAGTCACGGCAATTTGAACAGTTTAATAGCTACAAAGGCAATATATTGCCATGCCAACAAAATGACCATGAAAAAAAAAAATAATTAAAAAAATTGCAACAGCTATAGAGCAGATTATGTCGCATGAGTGTCGACAGCTATAGGATTAGGCTGCATATTACAAACCGTATGCCAAAGGCAGAGTATGAGAGCTTTGCTGTGCCAGTCGTTTTCCATTCCATTGATGTTTCCAGCACCTGGCAACATTTTGTCAGTGACTGTCGGAAAGTCTCTTTCGAACACCGAGCTTCCAGCATGCGCTCGTTACCTTTTGTCCTGCTTTGACTGCACTTGCATGCTCGAGGCTCGTGAGATGCCAAAGTTGTTGGCGGTCTTCTCTTCTCGAAGCACGATTGAAGGAAATTGAAGGGGCAGGATTGTGAGATCCTGGGGGCCGCCCCACTAAGGCAACTGTAACGACCTCACAACATAGACACAGGTGCTTCAGGTGGTCGGGGATGCCGTCCCAGGACAGGAGTGCCTCACCCGGTGGAAAAAGCAGGAGACAGGTGACAAGTCTAGGCCCATTTATTCAACCCTCACGCATCTTCAGCTTTTGTTGTCCTCGTGTAGATCACCTGGCTGTGGTGCTTTACAACCAGCTTGATCAGGCCTGCAGGCAACCAACACTTCCATCAGGCAGGCCACCAACACCTCTACAGTAGGGCATGCAAACACCTCAAGAAGAAACGAAATTTGGGGACAACTAGGAGCTATCATACAAGATTCCATAAAACCTCTGCGAGTGTAAGCAGCAGTAGTGAATAAAAATGGGAATTGACTGTGAGGGTAAACTTGTCTGATCAATCAACCAAGGTGTAGAAGATATTGAATGCACCCATTATTATCACTAGACAAACTGTGCTAACAAACATCCTACCTGCTGCCTCACTCTCCAAGCTGATCAGCATTACTGATGGATAGTGCTGTTAACAGCTCGAATAACAATCGGAGAGTTACATTTGCACATCCAAAACTACTTTTGGTACATATTTCAGGACTCCTAATCCACCCCTTTCTCTCATTTTCAATAATCTAATCGGGTATTACAGGAAACAAGCAGTAGAATTGCAGCTGAAGCATTTCCATTGTAAAAGTCTGCCCTCGCTTCATAGTGCAAAAGTGGCAAGCCCATACTGCTGAATTGTGCTCAGGGGTACGCAACGGTGTTCTCATACTTCACTCATTGCAGTGTCTGATCAGGGGAGAGATGGAAAGGAAGGGAGGGGGGCAATGCTCCCTTAAAGAAATGGTAAATCAAAATTTGGATTAAAAAAAACAAAAAAAAAACAATGCTGGAGATGTAGGCGGGACGCTACAATCCCTACAACACTACTAGTAAGGCGATATCTCGAATGGACGGCCGTATTTCTGGAAAAAGAAGTCGAGATTGAACCAGGCTGACGAGGCGCGTGACGTCAAGATACCTAGGTTCCTCCTCTCTTCGCTTCGCACCCTCAAGGCCGTGAGTCAGAGAAGACGCGAGGCCGTTCCCTCTCCTCCTCGGAAAAACATGACGTCAACATTCCTGCCAAATGTGCCTCTTTTTTTTTTTTTTTTAAATATGGTCATCTGTTCGAGATATCGCTGTATGAGTGATGTTTTGGTGTTTGTAGCATCCCATTGCACGCTTTTGCTGCGTGTTTTGGGGAATCCAGATTTCGGTTCAGCATCCCTTTAAGACATTTTGTGTGCAAGCCGCAGTTTCCCAGCAAAATTTTGTTGGTGCGACTTGTATGTTCACTTTATAAGCAAGGATTATTAGCTGTACAAGAGGCAGGCCATGGTAGCTATATTTCTCGTCCAATTCGTTGGCATAGAATATTACAACTGGCTTAATCACGCGTAAATAGCAATCACAATACACATATACAGGCTTATCAATGCTGTTTAGCCATGCTGATCATACAAAGTGTATAAGTGCAACTTGTACCCAAACCTTTTTACAAAAATGGCCGTGCAACCTACACACAGAAAAATATGGTAAGCAATTTGAGGGAGGGGGGCCAATCCCCCCCCCCTTCTTCCCACTTTTGCTAGGGTTCTTAGACGATTGCAAAAGGAGCAACGTAAAACTACCTGGAATTATGTGTGAAATAGCAATTCCTGGTTGTGCTTCAAGAAATTGGGTTGAACATTTTAGTAACTCCGAGCAAAAATACTGCCTGAAAACTTCCCCACTCTGAAACCACTAGAAAATATAAATAGCCTGTTGCAAGTCAAGAAGGTAGGGTGAGGGAAAGGAATGCCGGGAAGGAGGAAGCAGACTGAATGCTGGAAAGGAGGGGGAACCTCCCCTCTCCATTATTTTTTTCTTCTCTCTTTCTCTCTATTATTTTCTCTACTAGAGTCTGAACTTTGAAAAGGCTGGTTCACACATCCTGATTATCTTCAGAAAGCTTACACAACTGAACCTCGATTTAATGAAGTTACCAGGACCCGCTAATTATTTCGTTAAATCGGGAACTTCGTAAAATCGAGGAAGGGAGACCTCGTGCATAGACTGCGCGGGGAATCCGAATTTGTTTCTTAAATCGCGAAATTCGTAAAATCAAATTTCGTAAAATTGAGGTTCAACTGTATCTGCTTATGTGACAGGTCACAGGGAAACGAGTTTCATATTAAGTGTAGGTACCAGTTCCAAATAGATGGCCAGGCAAGTGACGCTTGGAGACTTGTAGGTAACGCAAGAAAACTGTGCTGTGTGAACCAGCCAAGTAGATGCAGACACACAAAGTAAAAGCAGGAGTCACCTTTCTGAAGCAGCTCGTCGAGTGCCTTGCGGGCCAGGGAGCCGCGCACCTTAAGCCTCTCAGAGACCACCGAGGGTGTGATGAGCTTGTAGCTGGGCACCTCCTTCAGGAGCTTGTCATACGTGGCCTTGTCGAACAGCACCAGGTTGTTCAACTTGTCACGCACTTTTCCCTTGGACCACTTCTGCAGAGGGCAGAGCGCAAGTGTCAAAATCACCAAAGTGCCCAAGCAGTTATCTTAAAATGACCGCAAGGCCCGTTGGAAAAAAAGGAAATATATGAGCAACGACACCCCAGTGCAAGGTACTTAGTGTGGCATCTAGCCAGTAAAACTTGCAACGAATTGTAGTTTTGTGTTTGAGAAAATGCACATGAATGGTTTCTACTTGACCCCCAAAGTATGACTCCTTCAATATAGTACACAAACTCCTTCCTGGCACGGTCAGTGCAAGAAGAAAACCTAAACAGAGTGCAACATCACAGAAAGAAGCTTTACATCTCTGCCGGCCTCCTGAGCACTCGACAGTGTTTGTAGTTTGCCTTTTTATTCCTGTTATTGGTCTGCCAGTTTGTTATAGTAGTCAGCTCGTGTCAAGCTGTTGTGCAGTTCGCTTTGCCAAAAACTCATGTTGGTGGCTTCGGCCTTTACAATGTTGTCTTTGTGTGGAGTGCATACACATTCTTTACTAAAAGCAGGAATGACATCTTGACTTACTGCAAGCACAGACAAAAAATCCCTTTAATGACATGATGTTTTTTTTTCCCCCTTTCATTTGTCAATTTTTGGACTCATGAGATTAAAGTATGCTAGAATTCGCCTCCAACCAATATTTAAGGAGCCTTTGAATATTCAACCCCACCACAGTTATCTCGAAGGGCTACAAAACGGTCTCCAATTGATTAAAAACTGTCCAAATTCTAAAAATGGATAAGTTTTTTTTTTTTTTTTTAAACGTCAGAATAATTAGGTTTAATCTAAAATGGGGCGTAAAAATCAGTGCGTGCAATAGGAATCTGAACTTTTTGTTAAAGGTATATTTCACAGGTTGGTTTTATCGTGCAATATCACAAAGCTATGCTCCCCTTCCGTAAAAAATGCTACCAAAAAACTTCCAAGGGTCAACCGCGGACAATGAAGCAGATGAGTGAATCCAGTGGCGGGCGCGTTTGGAGCACTTATTGATATAAGGCATTGGGAGCAGCGTCAGATGTAGCTGACCAGCAAAAGAAAGCAGACAACTGTGGAGATCTGGCTGCCCTCCCCTGTGCCAACCCTCCAAGCCCCAAATTCCGGCAACTCGGACTCAATGCCTCCGAGATGCGTCATGCCTCAGGGGAGCGCCGATGGCCTCGCACACCACAAGATCCGGCTACATCGCTCCCGTAAGCCAACTGACGTCACGCGGCGGATGGCTTCCCAGAACAAAGGGGTGAAGGCTTGAAAAGAGGATGCGGGACAAAGAGGAGGCTCTCTCGAACGGCGAACAGCAGGGAGCATGTAGCAGTGACGGAAGAAGGCAAGCTAGCACGAGAAACGGCGGGAAACGGACACCGGAGCGGAGAAGTGCGGGCCGCGACGTCGAGCGGTGGACTTGACGGACAGACCAGATAGCAACCATGGACGACAATGTCCCCATGACGCAGTGTGGATGACCACCGAAAAGAAGGAACGCTAGCACGGGAATCGGCGGAAGACGGACGCTGGAGCAGAGAAGTGCGGCGCGCGACATCTAGCGGCGGACAGACCAGGAAGCGACCCTTGACGACAACATCCCCATGAAGCAGTGTGGATGACCACCGCTCGGACTAGGAGCAGCTACAGTGGCAGCGGACTTCTTCCCCAGCCTTGCTGATAGCCGTTCCCCAATCCCGAACCCCCCCCCCCCAGGCAATGAGTGAGTGAATAAACCCTTTTGCCAAGAGTGAAGTATTACAGTGTCATGTTCATCCGGGGACAGGGTTCGAGGGAATGGGAGTTAGAAGCCCGCACAATATAGACGAAATCCGTCGGCAGCAGGAGCGCCGTCGTTATGCAACCGCATAATGAAGATACACTAAAAAAAAGGGTTATGTCCATGTTTATAGATATCGGTTGTCGGTGGCAGTCTAAATAAGGAGGCAACGCCGTTGGCCCTGGCAAGTTTTTTTTTTCCTCATTTTTTACCGAAAGGGGGCTACGTTTTACAATTTTACAAGATAACACCGACCTGCAAGGTACACCTTTGATGAAAAGTTTAAATTGCTACATGGAGGCACCAATTTTTACGGCCAATTTCAGATAGAGCCTGGGTATTTCAGACACCCTATATATTAAAAAAAATATACACGATCATCCAACTTCTTCTTTTTGGAAATGGTTTTTTGGTTGGTAAATGCCAGCACAATAAAACTTCTAAGCAAATATGAACGCTCCCGTTCTGCATTCATTAAACAGCTAACAGGGTGAACTGAATCATAGCTCATCCAAAGATTAGCTTCCTGTACATGTGCAAAGTGAAGAATCAGTTGGTGTTTAACGATGTAAATTACGGTTTACCAACTGTGCCGTGAGCACAGTCGAGGATTGTGCAGGCACCACTGCTGTACCAGCTAGATTCGAGTAGGGAGATTTAAGCTCAGTCCCAGGTCTAGGACGAAAAATTTTAACACCGCACAATCCGCAAATTTCTTCCAAATGCACGGAAGACGCACCTTCTTCTTGGCCTTGCCTCCAGAAGAGGATCCCTCCTTCTTCTTGGCAGTGCCTTTGGTGTCGGTCTTTTTCTTGCTGTCCTGCTTGGGCGGCTGCAAAGCAAACACGTTCCCAAGCATAACACGACATTTTCTCGTAATGAACGGACTTCGGTTAAAGTACAACAGATGCCTAAACAAAATAAAGGATACTGAAGACAGATTGATGCCGTGGAAAGATCCGCATGGTAAATGTCTCTCAGAACGTAATGCTGAGCCCAAAGGGACGAAGCAAGATCTCTTCGAGAGCGTTTAATGTGGCGCGATGTCTGGCCTCCCGAGGAAGAATGAGTCCTCGTAGGAATTTATTTCGCGCGAGCGATGGCGAGGTGACGGCACGCTACTTCTTAAAGTCCCTTGCCTAACCTAGCACTAACACCAGCTTTGAACTGACAAGTGCTAGCCACACGATTCACACCTTCGTACAGTTGGTATTTCATGCAGTCACTTAAAACGTGCATTAAACGAGCGCCCAAACACACATTCTGGGCTTGATTGTTAGTTTAATAGCTTTAACAAACTGAAAGGACGCGTTACACCTAGGCCTCACGACAACACGTGTAACTCAGGAAAGCGACGGAACAACGAAAAAATTAAACAGACGCATGCTCTTAGAGCAAGGATTACTTCACTACACAAGGACAACTCCGCAAATGAATGTTATTAAAATAAAAACCTAATATTTGAATAATCGAAAACCCACCATTTTCGGTGCGGCGTTCGCCGGAAAGCCGCGAGTGAAAAGACTTCAGTTACAGAAGGAAGAACCCCGTGCGCGTTCGACTTTTACATAGTTGCCAATAGAATAAGAAAAATGTTGTCAGCAATCACAAGTAAAATATTTAAAAAAAACTAAAGAAACTTCAACATTGAAATGTTAAACATGTTTTGAAAAAGTTGAATTAATTTTAGAAAATATAAATAAGATTTTTTGTTTGTTTTACGTTATTCAATAGTGCGTAGAGTGCGTGAGTAGATTTCTCTGAGGGTAGCGTGAAGTAGTAAAAATCCAGTAACGTTGATAATCTCGTTCGAGCAGGAAAGGAAACCCCGTGCCTTTCAGCCCGTTGATTCACCGCACGACGCGTGTAGGTAAGTTTGCGGGAAGACCGTTTTGTAATTTCATTTATAATTAAGCGTTTAATCACGAGTAGAATGGGTTCTTACTTTAAATGTGACTCTTGGAAGCGGTTTACTTCAAGAAGCAGTGGTGCGATAAACTAATCTTCCGTCATGTGGAGCTTTGTGGTTCGGCTTAGCACCTTCACTCCGCTGTTGTCATTTGTAGGCAAATAACTTACCAAAGTTAATTAGAACTGATGTGCCTCTTGTCCGAAGCTGAAGAGGTAGGGTATCACGCACCATATATTGTAGATATGTAATTAATGATTCACGGTTGTGTAAGTGTAAGTTATTACACTATTACCCAAAATTGACGGTTCGCGAGGTTCTGACTGAATGAGTGCGCATACCGCACGACCTTGCCACTTGAGAGCCTGTTCTGGAACCAATATAATTCCGAAAATGTAGAATTACTCTTTCACGCAACATCGCTGAAGCGTTAGGCCCGCCTCAGACGGCAATTTCTCCCAGCAACTTGACGTCGCAACACCAGCAACATGGACCTCACGCATTCCCTCGCCAAAAGCGATGTTTTTAGTTTTTTTTTTCCCCTTATCTTTTAGAGGTTATGAGATAATTGGCATAGAAGGGCGGGAGGAATCATGGTGGTTGTCTGTATTCAGCAGCACCAAAACCCTTTTGCATCAGGTCGGTCGCTCCCAAGGAAACTTCGCAGATGCGTTTTAATATTAAAACAAAACAAAAATCCGTTGTCGATATGACGTAAATAAATAAGACGTAAATGAATAAATAGTAGAAACAAAAGAAGGCACCAAAAGTTTGTGTGTCCACCACTTAATCTGTAGTTCCAGACGGTCTGACCTGGCTTGGCTCCCAAGTGTTCGTCCGCCTTGGCCACTCACAGAAGTCGCAACAAGTCACCATCATAGTGATTACCACAGCCGGTACAGCCTCTGTGAAGTCGCAACACCGGAATAAACTGATGGACGAGCCTCAATAAAATATTTTGAGGTCGGCACACTATGTGTCGTCCTGGCTTGCTGGGGCTCGGTTGGCTCTGGCTTTGGACTCCTCAGCTGTGCGGCAGCACTTTTCCCACCTTTCGAGATGACGCTTCGCCACTTCCACTTGCTCTGCCTGCTCTGCTTCGCGTCGTTGGAGCGGCGGCTGTGGTGGTCCTGTTTTCTGAGCGTTTTGCCAAGCCCAGAACCTGGTCAAGGGCCCTTCCTGCCCTTTTAGTTGGTTTTAGGCACGGGCACTGGCTGAAGATGTGATCGATGTCCTCATCCCCAAGGCCGCATAGTCTGCATGTCGTGTCGTCATCCCCGAAGAGCTCTTTTCTTTTCCGTGTGACCGGTGCGCCGGTCCGGACCTGGAAAAGAAGGGCGCTCTCGGTCTCCCCAATAGCAGTGATAGGAAGCTGGTGCAGTCTTGTGTTCCCGATATTAAGCGAGCGACTGGTTCCTCATTGCCTCTTGCCACAGACACGTTCCCTTTGCAGCGATTTCAGTTTGGGTCATCCTTGTCCACTGTTTCTGGCCAGTGGCCACATGTCATGTTGTTCCCGCACTAAATCCATCTTTTTCCAATTCCTTGGTGCCTGACGTTCATACTTGTACATTCGCTCGGCGTACCTTTCTCTGGATAGGAACGCCAGGCGACCGAGGTAGTGAGACACTGATTTTCCCTCTTACCTCGTGGGTCGACTGCCCCAGCTTGCTCCCAGGAGCCACCGTCCAATCTTGGTCTGATGCCTGTCGAGAAGCTTCAGTTGGGCTGGCCCAAGTGCTACTGCGTCGTTTTGCATACGTTACTGTTGGGACTGCCGTCGTCTTCCGAAGGGTTCTTCCAGCTGCATATGTATTGTAGGAGTATCTCGCCAGGTTCCACACTTTTCCCTTCAGTTTGCTTGATTTTGCCACTACTGCTGCTTCGTGTTTGGCCAAATAGTTGTTAGTGTTCTGGATTTTGATTTCCAGGTATGTTTATGCTGTAATTTCTTTGAGCTGTGTGTTTCCGATGTGGAAGCTTCCTGTCTCCGTTGAATTGAACGCCATCCACTGAGTTTTACTCTTGTTAAACCGGAAGCCGTCTTGGTGTGCTACCTCTGCACAGATGTCCAGAAGGTGCTGCATATCTGCCTCAAACTCTGCAATCAACACCAAGAAATCCGTAAAGGCGAGGCAGGGGATCCTGGTGTACCCCTGGTCTTCTTCATTGGTCACAGTTGTGAAGCGAAGCCCAGGGCCTTTTTCCTCTAGTTCGGCGATCAAGTCATTGATGTAGATATTGAAGAGCGTAGGAGATAGTGGACATCCCTGTCTCAGATTTCTGTCGATACTGGTTCCTAGGTGTATGGTCCGAATTTGTAGGAGGCTCTGCAGTCTTCGTTTTAAGCTTTCTAGTAGTTTTATGGTCTCTGCTTCAAATCCAAGATGTTCCAACACCCTCCACGTTTTGTCATGGGGGACGGCATCATAGGCCTTTTCAAGGTCCAAGAATGTCAAGAACAATTTAGACTTCTCGTGATTTTTCAATTCTATGGCTTAGCTCAGAGTAAATATATTGTCGCTAGTTTGTCTGTGGGGTCTGAATCCATTCTGTGCCTCACTTAGGATGTTCATCTTTTTGCATATCTCTTGCAGTCTTCTGTTGAGTGTGCTCGTAAACAGTTTGAAGGCGTTGCTTAGGGTTGTTATTGGCCTATATGAGTTTATGTCCATATGGTCCTTTCCTTTGTAAATTAGTTGACTATCTGCCTCTTTCCAGGGCTGTGGTATTACTTGGTTTTCTAATATGTCATTATAGCAGTCTTTCATTCTCCAGTGCTTTGAGTTATTCGTTGTGAATGTCGTCCCTGCCTACTGCTCTGTTTTCTTTTTGTTTTTTTTTACTTGTCTTTTAGGCTTAGGTTAGGTGGCACAAACTACCGCCTTTTACAAAGAGTATAGCCATTAACATCCGTCCATCCATGCAGCAACCAGTTGCTGCAATTTGCCACCATCATCATTAAATTCTATTTTCCTTGCACTATTTAGTCGCACAGTTGTGCGCTATAAACAAGTTTTTTTTTTTTGTACATTTAAAATGGTATTGGGAATACTAATTCATCTTTCTGAAACTTTTTATTTTCAAAAATGATTAATTTCAGACCAGAGCCAAGTCTTTAGTTGTCGTTGTCCCTAGCAAGGGCTATCACATGAAAATATTGCGTCCCTGATTTTCTGCTGCCACTTCAAACGTCTTCGAATTGCTCAGAGTTGCTTGCTTGTTTCGAGCCGGGCCCAATCTCAGCAATTCGCGTCAATCTAGGGAACAACCCGCCAGCAACCCCAAAATTGCCGAAAAAGTTGCTCCGTCTGAAGTGGCCTAATCGGGAGTCAAAACTGCACCACATAGTTTGACCGGTCGGTCTAAGAATAGCACGAAAAGTAATGAAAACAAACCATCTCGTGTTGACGTTAAGCTGTACTACCGTGATCACAGTTAGCAGGAACATAAGAAAGAGGATATGGCATCAGATAAGTATCGAAGCATTCTAACCACTCGTCACTCAACTGCAGCGCATTTGTGACGCCGCAGTTGCGCACCTTGCCATAATGCTGACAGTACCCGGCGTGACATGCTCCCGTGTTCCCACTAACTGTGATGAAGATACTACCTTATCTTTTATGGCTGACACCCTCAAAAGTGACGATCATAGTTTTTAAGACTCATGTTTGACTTCTTACTCGTCCAATGCAGGTGGCATCAAGATGCAGGTGTTCGTGAAGAGTCTGGATGGCCGCACGGTCACGCTGGACCTGTGCTCCGGGGACAGCGTGGCCGCCGTGAAGCGAGGCCTGGAGGAGCGCACGGGCCTGCCATGCGACGAGCAGAGGCTGCTCTTCGGAGGCCGACAGCTCACAGACGAGGACAGCGTGCAGCCGGGTGAGCGGAGCTTTTGGTGTGCCATTCCTTTTTGAGGGGAAGAGGCTTGACTTTAACGTCGCAGCTGTGTTGCTGCATGGTGTCCGAACTCCGTTTGCGGCAGCACACTTTGTGAAGTGCGTCTCGCCGTGGCGTGTTCTCGCGCAACGTACGAGAGCTCCCCCCGAGAGAAAAGGCAGTAACGATGCGTCTACGAACCTCGAATTGTCATCAGAAAGTTTCCTAGATCGGGGAAAACAATCTATAAAATGAGTTCGGCCACAGCCTGTGCGGCAATCCATTGGAGCCATTCAAGCAGTGCCGAAAGGCGACATCACAGCTCCAATCGGAACCAATCGTGCACAGAAAAAAGTGCAGAATCTCAGTGCTTTCACTGTGCACAATTGGTTTAGTTGGTGACATGCACAAAGGCAGTGAGCACCCTGACGGTGCCCTTCTAGCGCTGCTTGTTTGGTTCTGTCCGATAGTGGCGTCGGCAGTGGTCAGACTAGAAATGGAATGTAGGCGGCAGAGGCCACCTCCCGATTGACCGAATTCGATGGCGACAGCCTCTGTCCCTCTTGTCTTCTGGCAAGCACGGCACGCACATGCACCTATTAGGTATTGGTTTGTCTGGCCTGTACCGGTTTCAAGCCTTTAGGGCATTTCCATGTGCAACGGGCGCTTCTTTTCATGTTGTTTTCCGCAGACTTGTTTCCGAAGTGGAATTGTGCGGGTGACGATGTCACTGTCTAAGAAATGCTCATTCAAGCTAGACCGACCTGGCTTAGTTTCCAAATTCTCCTTTTTTTAATTGTCATAGAATCTAATCAAAAATGGTCTAGGAAAACCTGTGAAGGTCTGGGAATTTGAAAGTGCCAACATCACCCAAAAAATTGTCAATTACTAAAGATGACCTGTAGAGAATTTGTGGGATTCGTAGCAGAAGGCACCGCTCTTGTACTATTGGTCATGACGCAGAATATGCTGCTCTAGCAAATTGAGTTGTCAAAGTTCATGCGGCGCAGGAGTACAGCGTAGATTGTGAAACACGAACATGGTGCAAGGATATAAGTACACCCCAAACTTTAAAGCTTTCACTTGTTAACATGTAGTACCATCATAGGCATGACGTTGGAATTAAATGGGAACAGCCCCGTATGTTTAGGACGTTTCCGTTATTTTGCATGTATTTCTACTGCTAGATTGCTGTCTGTCAGGCTTTCGGTAGGTGGTACTCTTTTTGCAGCTAAAGCAAAATATACATAGAAGCCACGGTAGTTCCTTAGCTCCTTTATGGCATTGAAAGAGAGTTAAACCGTGCTATTTCGAAAAATCTAGCTAGCTTTTATGAGGCAGTGCCTGTTGAGCTATCTCTGTCGTGCTTCTTTGGAATGTGTAGCTGTCGCATTGATATTCCGGCTACAGGCAGTGGGTTTGGCCTTATGACATATCTATGCCATCATCGTCTGTGTTTCCGAAGCAGTGGTGCTAACTGCACCATCATCTGTCCCTAGGTTGCACCCTGCACCTGAACCTCCGACTGGTGGGTGGTGTCATTGAGCCCAGTCTGCGCATTCTGGCCCAGAAGTACAACTGCGACAAGATGATCTGCCGCAAGTGAGTTGTTGAAAGCATTGACAGCCGGTTTGCTTCGATGTCGACGCTTTAGATTCTTTGTTTACAGAAAAACATAAATTAGTGTAGCTATGATTTTTGCCCTTTCCCCACTGATTCTGACTGCAATATAGCCACCTTTTTTTTTGCGCTACAAATGAAATTACGAGCTAAGTTTCCGACTGGTACTTTTGTATGTTCTATGTGTAGGTGTTACGCCCGACTGCATCCCAAGGCGACCAACTGCCGGAAGCGCAAGTGTGGCCACTCCAACAACCTGCGACCCAAGAAGAAGCTGAAGTAGACTGCTGCTGTTGTAGCTATAACTGCTCCCACAACCAGAATTAAAGGCCTGTTGTCAAGTCCATGACGTCTGCCTTGGAGGAAGAGAACTTAGTAAACCCTTCGATGGATGGAGGGTATTCTCCTTAGCGATTATCGGGTCCGAGGAACCAGTTGAGTAGCAGCTGGTGTCTGCCAACATTAAAAGGCTGTAATTTATTGTAATGCTTTGTGCTAATCAGTTAGCCGTGTTTAAAATATACTAAATCAAAACTTGAAATGTATATGCTAAACATTCAGATAATAATCGCACACTTTTGTTTTGGGTGGATGGCCCTAATTTCTGTTCTTAAAAGGGATCATGCAACCATTTTTGGATTTCGGTCAAGTAATTGTGGGAGTTCCCTTTGATGGTGTCACATCTGTAGTAAAGAACTTGAAGGGGCACCGACACACCAAAGGTCATATATTTTTTTTTTTTTTTTGTCTAAAGCGATGCAAATTGTAGTCATAAACGCAAAAAAAAATACCGCATTGCAAAAAAAAATTTTTCACTTGCGCGCTTCTCATTATTTTGCATCTTTTGATTTGTGATGTCAAATATCATGAAATATAGCAGCTTTGTAGGCGCTTATTTTATGGTCTATATGTGTTCAAAGGAGCAGTATCACATCGAACATACCAGTATCTTGTTAAAAAAGTCTCGAAAAGGGCTTCTAAAACGAATTAAACGATTAGCAAAGAGCACTTGGTGGATGTCGCTAACGCCTCGTTTGTAATGCCAGTCTAGGAACTTTGACAGCTAGTGACGGTGAGTGTCTCGCCTCCGGCCACAACGACAGAAGAGGGGAAGTTGAGCGGAAGGAGGAACTCCTGTCTTCCCGAGAATCCCTTTTGTGTGTTCCAGAACTAGCTATTGTCCCCCTACAAGATTATGGAAGATTAACCCGTCGCTCAAAATTCGTACAAAAGCAGCCGCTTCGGTGGCTGGAACGACTAGGCCATCCCCTCGACGTCAGCCTCACGGTAGCTTCGTCCCGAGAAGACTTGCGTCATGATTGCGTCGGATGTCACCTGCTCTAAGCTGGGTCTTCTCCGAGCGCTTGCTAGAGTGGGGCGTTTATAACAAAAAATACAGCCACCAGGCTCAAAATACAAGCGTGCGATTGTCATTTACGGATATTGTGGATCATATTCAACCTATTTCTGAACATGACGGATATATTTCAAATTTCGTTGAAGTATCCCTTTAATAACGGCAATCGTAAAACGTGTTTTTTTAACAAAATTGCAAGCGCACTACGGCCCTCCTTTTTGAAATAGTACCAAAAATCTGAGTTTGGTATGATGTCGCCTCCTGGATTTTTCTCCTCCCTCGAAAAACATGGCGGCGCTCGACGCATGTTGCCAAAGAGGATGATCAGATGAAGGGGTCTTTTTTAGGCGCCTGATGATCTCTCGGTCTACGAAAAGGAAATTGTCAAACGGTCAAAACAGCTGGGTTTGGCGTCTGTAGTATCGTAGTTTCGGTTGTGACTCCGCCTGGGCAGCACTTTACAAAAAACCCGTGAGATGTCGAGCGTCGTCTGCTGGCAGTGATAGTCGGCATGGCACCCACAGAAGAAATTGGTCTTTCCGTTCTTCCCGATATGCCGGCGCCCTTCTCTTCTACTCCTCGCCTCGCTTCGGGTCGCAACGGCAACGGCGGTTTGGAGCAGAGTGTAGGCGTGAAAGAAAGTTTACTCGCAGGGCAGCTCAATATTCAACGTAGCTGCACTGGCGCGGATCGCACGGGAACTTCTAAATTCGGGTTTTAGAAATCATTATTTTTACTTCACAAATACCGAATTCCCAAGTTTCCAATTTTGAGGGTGATGTCCAGGCATCGTTTTCAATCGTTTTGAATAATAAAAAAAATGAAAGACGTTCACAACTTTCTGTTATGCCAATTTAGAGTGCAGTCCTCGAGGAGGGGAGGGTACTCATCCGTACCCTCCCCTCCTCCTTTCACGCAATGTTTCGGCACTGTGCCGAAACGTCACCGGGGGGCATTATGGGAAACGTCCCGTTATGCACCGCACGGTTAAGCTGACGCCGCTCAAGCCGGAAATGGGCGCCTAAAGCTGTGCTCTAAAATTAATTTTGCCCTGTCAGTGCCCCTTTAAAAATTTAATTTTCTTGTGTGGTAATTTTTAAAAAAAGATTGTTAAACAATTGAAGTTTCGGGTGCCTCCCAACTAGGGATGTTGCGAACCGCCTAAAGTTATAATTCAACACTTTTCAAACCTCCCAAGGGTTAGATTTTGCGAAGTTTGGGACTTCTAAAAACTGCCCGGATTCGAATTTGTGGAGTTTGGAAGTCATAGAGGTTTTTAAAAATTCGAAATCAATAGTTTCAATCTTTTTCTTTTTTTAAGATTGAGGTTTGCAAACTTCGATGGCTTTAAATTTTTGTATGAATGAGGTTTGCCAAACTCAATAATTTTGAATTGTTTGAACTTAAAAAACGAAAACTTCAAAAGAAATCAAATTTTTTCAAAGTCTAAGCTTGTGAAGTCCGATGTTCTCGAAAATTGAAAATGGAAATTTACAATGAATCTTGCGCGTGCCTTAAAAGGGCCCTGCAAGAACTTTTTTACCGATTTTTAACTTGCACCAAACCTGAGCGCGCTGAACGTTGTAACTTAATGAAAGCTTCCTTTTCTCGCATTTTGCTTTATTTTAAAAGTTATAGGCAAATTAAATTGACAAAAACCAGCAAAGAATAACTTCCTTCATGATGTCCTTGGTCGCTTGAGTGGCCGTGAACTAGAGGAGGGGTAGTGAACTCTGCGAGCGCTCGCGGCTGCCTCACTCTGTCGACGGCTCGAGTGGGCGCCACTAAAGCATGTTCTGGATAGGCTGTATGAAGCAGGCAGCCAGGGCAGCTCGCATTGCATTTGCTGCACGATTAATGACTAATTCGGCATGACACTTCATTGGCCACACATTACAGCAAACACTGATTAAATATCAGTTCAGAACAGGAGCCACTTTGGGCTGCCATACCGCCAAGCGGCCAAACCGCAAACCAAACCTGCTGCGGAAGGCATTCAGCAGGCTCGGAACCTGTCAGATCTTGAGAAGACGACCTGTCCCTTTCTGTTCCTTCGGCTTTTATGTTCATTTCTGCCCCAGTCTCAGGTATATTCAACATGGTTAACATTCACCAGCTCGCCTGCAGGCTGCACCCTGACTATTTTATTTCAGATCCTCGAGCACGTATACGACCGCAGCGCCACCGCATACATCCGGGACGTTTCTACGCTCGCCGCTTATCGGTGCCTGATCCCACTACCCCTTTCTAGTAGGGGTGTCGCTAACTTTTTTCGAACCATATTTTTAGGTCGAACTTTCGGGGTTCGACTGGGTCGGAAACGGTTCGACGAACCTTCCAAACTTTTCACCAGATTCGACCGGTTGGACTTTGCGGACAATGTGGCTAGATCTTGGTACACGCATGTCTAGGTTTGGAGAATTTATTTTTATGCAAAGGGTTATTTTATTTTATGAACAGTTGCAATTAAAAGAAACCGATTCTAATCACTAGACGTTGATAACATAATTTTTTGTACTGTATTAACTGAAATAACCAATCAGCGGTGCCCTTAATTCATCCCTTAGCCATTACCCTCCAATCCGAAGCCAACTGGCCAGCCTGTCGCGCATGCGCACAGGAGTCGAACCTCAGCAGAAGGTTCGTCAGAATTTCCATAACAAGTTCGAAAAAGTCGAACCTGGTCGAACTAGAACCTCGGCTGGTTCACGACACCCCTACTTTCTAGTATGCACCGCCTTTTCTGTTGATGGGTCATATTTTGTTTCCGTACTTTATAAATGGCATTTGTTTCTTTTCTGGTATACTGAACTGAAAATACCAGGGGGGTAAAGGTGGGTGAGGAGCAGTGGCAAATCCCGTGCGCCAACATCCTGGGTCGCAAGTGAAAGATCGCGAAAGAGAGCGACAGAACACGAGAGAAAGAAACCAATGTTGCCAGCTGAAGGACGACAGTCGCAATGGTAATCGCGAAGACTGAAAACTCTCAGCAATATAAACAGTGATAATTTAAAGGGCAACTCCGCTTCATTTTTGGTTTTGAAAAAACCATGCAGTCCTCTTTACCGCCTAGGAAGACCACACGTGAAATGTTACGACGCAGTTCTGTCTAAATGTTTCTTAAACGGTCGGGCAAACTTTGCAACTCGCCAAATTGCCGAAATCAGCTGATTTGAACCAACAGCGCAGTCAAGGCTATGGCATGGGCGGAGCCAACATTGAGCTAAACGTCATTATAATGGCCCCCTTTTGCTTGTTTTCACCTCTCTGGGCGAGCGTAGCGCATGACGTCAGCAACGTTGTCTCTCGGCGCTCAGCGGTGTCCACATGATTGGTGTAACGCGCCTGCGTTACACCAATCACCAAGCTCAAGGTGACTACAGTACAGACAAACGATAAAGGGTGGCGCTGTTGTCGCATTTAGCTCGGTCTCGGTGGACGCCAGCGGCCCAGGTTTCGACGGCGAGTTTCCCAACTGAGTGTTCTATACTCTGTTTCATACTTAGCGTGCAACGCTGTCAAAGCTACTGGCGCGAGCGCGTGGCATCGTCCATGGTTTTGTTTGTGCGAGAACGCGTGCAAATGATCAACGAGATCAAGCCCCACGCTCGTGCCAGTATCGCTAACAGCGTTGCACGCTAAGTATGAAACAGAGTATAGTAACGTTGCCACGTGCGCAGACTAATGCTGCAGTTGTGCAGACGTCGAATGCCGTAGACACCAAAACGTGGCGAAGAGTGCGGTGCAGACGACACTCGCGCCTGCCACACGCCCGCCCCAATCCCGCCCGTCGTTGGGCCGAGGATCACGTGACATCTCGTACCACGTGATGGCCATGTACTTGGCGACCCGAGGCCAATGTTGCCGGGCGGAGCCGAAGTTTCGGTTTCGATTTCCCCGCTCGTGTTTAAAATTAGATTTATTTAAAAATATATATCCCATAAACGACGTTGTGTGTTTTACTAGGGTTTTTAATTCGAAATCAATCATTATCCCGAAATCTTCGGAATTGAGCGGAGTTGCCCTTTAACGTTGTAAACTGAATTCTGAGCTAATCTAACGCTTATAAAAAGCAGTATACTCATTACGCTGCATTAACTTCCCTTCTGTTGAAATCTCGGAAATCTGGTGTATGCTCGGTTTCGTATTCCTGGGGCGCGCCCACTCGCGTCCCCTGCGAGGACGGCTATCTGGTTTAGTTTAGCGTTGATGCGAGGCCGTACATCTGTGCGCTATGCAAAAAGAAAGCTTCGAAAGGAACGCAAATATCTTTGCACCGGTAAGTTCGCGGATTGTTGAAGTTCATGAAACTGCTCTGATGATATAATTATATTCGTGAAATCGAAGGCAGTTGGTAACAATGTGTGGGACCCCGAGGGTCTGCCTGCATGTTCCGCCGCTTGCGGCAGCTAGAATGCATGGGAAAATGGCGGACCTTTTCCTCTAGAGTTAGTATGTACAATCTCTATGGAAAATACTGAACAAAAACTACTTTCATAAATAATTGAAATGGCTCGCATCACTTGTATTTTGTATTTCGACTAAAAAAAAAAGAAAAAGCTTTTAGTGGCACTGACCAGTAGTAAGGCCAGGACCAAATACTTCAGATATGCGCGCTTTCGGCACCGCGGGTCGCCCGGAGGAAGTTTCCGCGTCTTCCGGTTCACTGATATTTAGTTCTCCCTTTGTGCCCGCTGGCTTGCCCGAACCCCAAAAAATGTAAAAACCGAAAAAAAAAAAATACTTTTAAGGTTTGTTTACACTCTTGTGACCGAGTAAGACCGAGAGAGACCAGACCGGTTTTCAAGCCTCTTGCGATCTCTTAGGATTAGCTCCGCTGCTGCGCATCCGGTCCTAAGAAGTCGCGAAAGGCGTCACGGGCTGGCGACACTGGATATGACTAAAGATGTCTCCCCCCTGAGCGCATCTTCTGGGCAGATCGAAACAAGAAGGCACACTCTATTCACACAGACGGAAATTTGGCAAATGCAAACCATGCAAACAAACATGGGTCTTATTTTTTTTTTTTTTGCGTTCGGTAATAGTTTTGAAATATTGGTGCTAAATAATGTGTATGTTTATAATTTGCAAACTAAAAATTTTTGGTTGTGTGTGTGTGTGTGCACTAGATAACGCGAGCAAATGCCCAATTAAAACGTTTATAAGAAAAACTTGTTTTTTAATTAAACATACATTTCATTCAATGGGGGTCGTAGTTTATTCATCTTTATTCATATCTTTATCACAAGAATTCGGTTTGGCAGGACATTCATCCAATCCAATCCGATCCTTCATCCAAGTCGAGTTCTGCATCAGCTGCGTCCCTGCGTATTTTGTCTCTGCCAATCTCCACGGAATTATGGCAGAGAAGACGTCGTCGACAGCGCATTCACCCGAGCCGGAGGGCTCCAAAGACGAATCGGAGGATAAGGTGTTGGCCGAGGACGCTGCGGACGCCGAGGCAGTCGACGAAGAGCTTGACGACCTGCTCGACAGTGAGTGGCGGTCAGAGGGGTTGACGGAGCGTCTTGGGGACTGCCCAGACTTTCCTGTTCGGTGGCTTCCTTTGCGAGTGCCCGGGGCGCAGTTCACGCTCGCTGCCAGGTTATCACTTATCATGACACCAAATTCTCTAGGAACCTCCGATACATTTTTTTCTGTAGAGAGTTTCTGTGCCTGAGCAAAGTTACTAGTACGTTGCAGGTGCTGTGCATCCTAGAGTCATGAGGAAGTCCCAAGCGCATCTATCTTTCTTTCTTTTTTTGTGTTTATTTCTAGCCGGTGGCGTGTTTCTGTTCTAATGAGGCGTTGTTTCGTCACCAGTCTTTTGTCTGTTTGGCTATCTGAATTCGTTAGAGCGGGGAATACTACGTTGGCACGGATCCAGTTGCATGTTTACAAATTTTAGAAATCTGGAACATTACGCGCATTAATGGAGTAATGTCGCGTAAAACTGGGAAGCGACACTAAAGAAACTTAAGAAAATGATATGCCTGTAATATGCACAGATGTCCAAAATTACGGGAACCATTTGGGGATACTATATGCTTGACAAATACTTCTGAAATTGTCTTGGCAGTGGGTCTAGAGTATTGTTTTCCTTGTATTTTACTTGTGATTCTCAACAGACAATGGGTAATAGTGCACAAAAGAAACTATCAGAGTTATTGATTAACATGTGAATTGCAAATTGCTGTCATGAGGCAAGTGAATCTATGCTTCTGTTTATTCCAGCAGTGTTGTGTTACAAGGCCCTACCACTATCAGAAAGCATTCACTTCTAAATATTTTGGTGTTCGACCACTCTTGGGTGCTCAGAGAGACAACCGCTGATCTTGTGATCTTTGGACCAGGGAGATCAAATATGAAAGTGATTTTATTTGTCTGCAAAGTTTCTCATATTTTCGAACTGTTATCTGCCATGTGGCACAGGTCACACATTACCCAGCTTATTACTACCAATAGATATATCAACCTCTTGCCATGCACCCACAGAGCTGAAAGATGTGCCACCATTCTCGTAATCCATGTAGAAAAAAAAAGGCATTTGTGATCACTCAAAACACTTGCAGAAAATAACCCCAGTTTTGTGCAGTCTCATTTTGTGCTGGCTCCTTTTAACAGGAATGCGTTTTTAATTGATGTATTTATAAATTCTGCAATAGACCTTATGCAAAATTGCTTGGTGGCCCGACAGCACAGAGAGCGTCGCCATTTTGGAAAAATTGGGACTCCCTCCCATGTGGCTCCGGCCCAAAGTCTCCAGCCTGTCCCCCAGTGGACCCAGTGCCGGGGTAACGCCGACTAGGTTGGACCAAGGTGAAGGAAAGAAGTCATACATTGGTTTTTAACTTCTAGGCTAGGTAGCGTAAGCTACCGCTCAATATAACGGGTACAGCCATTAGCGTTCATCCATAATGTTGGCAAGCGTCGTTGGTAGGGAAGCACGGTGGATGCATCGGAGATAACCGTACGGGCAGTGTGCGATGCCGCGGCAGGTTTCCTTTCCACCTTCCGACCTGAAATATGGACAAACAGTTTAAACAACCTACCACATCTGTCTTACAAAGCTCTAGGAGGCCTGTACATGCTGGCGAAAACCCGCAGTGTGTAAGCTTCCACAGCGAAGGCGTAGGACGTTTTCTGCTACTTCAACGAGGTTGTGACCAGTGTGCACAGGTCTCCGAGAGTTTTGTCAGACAGTTCCGGTAGGTTTTTTAAACCCTTTTTCCACATTTCATGGTCAGAAGGTGGAAAACAAAACTGCCATGCCATCGCACACTGCCCGTACAGTTATCTCTGATGCCACCACCGTGTTTTGGTACCGACGATGCTCTCAGTGTTGTCAGACCACCAAGCAATTTCGCATAAGGTCTATTAGGGAAGGTCCAGGGAGAAGTACTGATAAAAATATGTAATGTGATCATACGGTTCAAATGCACAATGTTATCAGAACATTTGAGTGATGAGTCTTAAACACAAGTCTCAAAAACAAATACGGTTGAACCTCGATTTGATAAAACCCGATTTTACAAATTTCTCGATTTAACAAACAAATTCTGATTACCCGCGCAGTGTATGCGCAAAGTCTTCCTTCCTCGATTTTATGAAGTTTCCCATTTACCGAAATAATTAGCGGGTCCCGGTGACTTTGTTAAATCGAGGTTCAACTGTGTATGCTTGCCACAGCTAGGATGTTCTCAAGGCTTTATCTCAAAATAAGTGTCTGCTTTTAATAATGCTGAATCTCTGGCAAGAATATAAATTAATGTATTGTTTTCGTCTAATTTATAAGGGAACTCTATTCATTGTCTATATTTTTTAAACTTTTTTCCTTGACAAAACTTGGACAAATAAGTATACTTCTTTAAAGATCACGTGATGTCCGTTTAGGCTGTCAAAGAAAAATTAAGTGATGATGATGATTGTTCAGAGTGGGCTTCAATAGATGCTTTTCAAAGAGTGGCAGTGGCAGAAGTTCCAAAATATCTGATCTGGTGGTTGTATTGGGATAACAATATATATATAAAATCATGAATGCTCAAGTTCATGGTTCATGAATCAAAATCGACTCACTGGAAGCGATTTTTGGGAATCAATTCTCTATTGCCTGCTTTGTGTTCTTGAATAATTTTTTTTTTTTTTTTTTTTTTTTTTCTTGGTATGGAGGAACTGCAAGGTGCCACCGTTAGACTAAGAGGGTCAGGTTCAGTTCCAGACAGGGTGGATAGACGGACTTTCGAAAATGGTCTATTCTTAGCTGTGGAATGCTCAGTAAGGTTTTTTGAGCTTTAGACTTTTAGACTCCCTGGGCATACTTGTGTCCCTGGGGCCCTATTGCCCTTAGCTGCCTCAACTACGTATCTCTGTTTACAGGTGCCCTGCAGGACTTTGAAAAACCTTCCTCGAGTGGCAATGGGGAACCACCCAAAGAAAAGAAAGTGAGGAACATTTTAAGTTATATTTCAGTTTTCTTTCTCCATAATCATACATGAATGTTTATTTCACGCACAAGTGTTTCTCAAATGCGGAAAAAAGGCTGTCTATTGCACATTATGGAGACCACTGGCCTCCAATGCTGCTATAGGAGAACAATTGTTGATTTCGGGCAGTATGCTATTATCGTGCATGTAGCAGCTAGAAAGCTTTTTGACTGATTACCTGGGAGGAAATCCTATGGAAGTTCTGAAGAAAGATGCTCTCAGAGTAGCTGAAAAGTACAGAGATGCATGACTAAGATGCTCTCCTTGTTCATTCCACTTTACTGCTTGCAAAGGGAATCTGCTATGCATACTTGTCACAACTTCTACCATTCGCTCTCTGAAGGAGCATGGTAATTCTGTGCTCACAGAAAAAATTGGGGGACAACTTAATGCATAATGTTGATAATTTTATGTGAGGAAATTCTAGTTTTATTTGGTCTGCGATGAAAACCATATGCCTTCGGAGACAAAAGAAATGACTAGAATTTAGGATTTTTTTTTTTTTGCTCCGAGTCTTTTTGGGCAGTTAAAAAGGCTCCTAGCATGAATGGTCTGGTCTGCAGGAGAACTGCCTCAACCGGAGTGGTGGCGGACTGAATGACCACCCATGGACGGCAGAATTCAGCCAGTTTGCAGACGTCATGAACACTTTCCTGGAGGAAGAACCACAGCTCAAGGAGCAGTTCACCAAGATCACCCAAACAGCCAACCGAGCAGGTGGGTAGGCTTCTGTAATCTAACAGGGAGTTGCCATATGTAATTGGTTCATGAGTGCTTTTGAAGCAAATTTCTGCTTTCGTTATAATGGGAATTTCAGCGGGAACATGCAAAATGGATATGGAACACGTCTGTTTTTTGTTGTCCCATCCGATGCTTCCAGATGGCATGCTCCCCCAACTCCATAACACATATTCTTGCTGACTATCTCTCTCTGCTCCTGGACAGGGGTGGGCCGGAATATTTGAGACAAAATCTTAGCGATTCAAGAGTGCTCAGCCTAAAGAATTTGGAGCTTGTTGTTTTCCTGTCCTTACTTGTAGAACAATTGTGAAAGGAACTTATGACCAACTTAAGAAATGCATAAAAATATCTGGCAATAGGTGTCTGTTAGCTATCAAGCTACCTCTAAAAGGTACAGTCACTTGGGTTTGCTATTTTCCTTACTACAATCTGATTTAAAGGCAAAATTAAAACAGTGCTAAAAAGACAAGGGACAGGCAAGTCAAAGAAACAAACAGACCAGGCACCTAGTCTGTATGTTTGTTTGACTTGTCCCTTGTTTAATATTTTTGCTTTTTTCATTTTGTTATACACCACTCATTTTAGTGTGGGGCCAAATATCCCACACCAGTGAGGTCTAGGGTCAACGGAAGAGGGGGTGGGGGGGGGTTCAAAAGATTCTGAAGAGAAAGGACCTCGTGCTCTATCCTTTTTGTAAACTCACTGTTTTGCCAATGACATCTTTCGATTTGATTTGTTATTATGACTACTTTGGGCGCTGACCTGATGTGATGTGATAACAAGAACTAAAATGCCACCTCACAGCCAACGTGCTGGCATTTTGAATGGAACGAGAGAGCAAGTACACGGTCGTTCCCGTTGCTAAATTCACATGGGAATTAACGAAGTTCAACATGTGTCTAAAAAGACAGTCAGTTAAATTGACAGTTGTTGATTTCTTGGCGATTTTTATTACAGCACTTTGAACAAATACTTGTATTTTAATGGTGATACTTTTTTGTAGGCGAGAATCTCGAGCTCAGAACTTTATTTTGGCAGTTGCTCCTGCTGATCGAGAGTTCACGCAGCCGAGATGAATGAATAGTTTAACGAATAGCTGGCGCTTGCAGCCTAGTAGCGGAATCGTTGAACATTACAAAAAGCTGGGAAGCAATAAATAAAGCTAAACAAAGGTCAAATGAGCACAGATAAGTATAAACTATGTGAATACAAGAGCACAGCTACTTTTCGAGGAAAAATGACTCGACGAGATGAGATCTTTATGGCGTATGCCATTTCTAGCGCTCGAGACATGGGAACCATAACTCGTAACCGGTTACCTGCGAGCCGCGTCCCAGCGAGTGGCGGGCCGCATGCGGCCCGTGGGCCGCGTGTTTGAGACCCCTGTTATACACTATCCACTCACCCAAGTTTATACTCTCCTATGGTTCAAAAGCATCAAAACATATGATGTTAATTTTTATTTTAGAATTGCCTTTTATATTTAGATAAGTAACCTGTTCGGTGCTCTGAACACCGTAACTGCAAACGAGGTATAATCAAATGGTAACATAAGCCCTCGATTAAAGTGCAGTTGAAGACTTCACGCTGATATGTCTGGTGTCTGTTGGTGCTTGCACTCACCCTCCACTTACTGATGCTACATTTTTGTGCTTCCAGCCACTGCAGCCACAGACGAGGAATTTGCTGCCACCCTCAACGAAACTCTCAAGAGCATCTCAGACACGGCTCTATCTTTTGGTGTGAGTGCTTTTCAGCAGTGCCAACCCCCAACAGTACCACTGTTCACCCAAGAGCAGTGCTGCCATGGTCATTAACTTAGAATTGGTTTTTTGGCACGAGAGTTTAGCACACATTATCTGAACCTACATATGGTTCAGATAATAGCTACAGGGAACTGTCCACCATAAATTTCACCCTTTTCAGCTTGCCCCACAAAATGTTATCTTAAGAAATTGGGCTTGTAGGAACACTAGGTGACATGGAGTTCCAAAAGGTTTGGATAACCCAGCTTCACACTGCTGTGCTTTCACTTGTTTCTTCTTTTTTTTTTTTCACACCAGTTTCCTTTCTTTGGTTTTTTTTGGCTAATGCATGGTAGGTGTTGAGAGATGTCACTATCATATTGGGGAAATAAATGTAAGTTCATTTTTACAAAAACTCTGTCTCAAGACGTACAGAGGAGCAGTTGCAGCGTTTCCGTAAGTATTATTTTAGTCTGTTTATTATACTGAATCCTGTTGATCGTAAGTGCCTGTTGCCAGCAACCTTGCTTAGAACAGGACCGTGTGCGTGGTTCGGCCGAGAACTGACTTTGCCGACTGCGTTGCAGGATGTTCCGTCGGATGAGGAGCTCTCGCGGCTAATGGGGTCACTGCAGATGGAGGGGGCGTCGCCCAATGGGGCTCCACCTCCTGGGGGTGTGCCCGGCCTGGTCTCCATGATGCAAGGCATGATGCAGAACTTGCTCTCCAAGGAGCTCCTCTACCCGGCCCTCAGGGACATTGTGGACAAGGTAGGCTTCACTGCACGCCATGGGTCAAAGAGGGCACGCAACATACACCGTCGGTATACTGTGGGCACGACGGATTCTCGGGCCTTTGAACAGGCGCAGAACACTGTTGCTGTACAACACTGCTGCAGCTGCGGCCATCAGCGGGTCATTCTTCCTTTTTCATAAATGTAGATACGGCCTACATCTTGCACAGTAAGGTCCATTCCGATAAAAAAGAAGTGTATGTATGTTGCACTGCTGTATAAGGTGCACCGACGGAAATTTGAGAAATAATCCGCATCTTATACGCCGGAAAACATGGTAATTAGACGAGGATGGAGGTAAGGCAAGCAGCCATCAGCATTGGCTTCATGCCTTACTACTGGTTGGCAAATATTTTCTAGAATTGACTGTAAAGTGAAAATAAAGTAAGGAACAGTGGAAGCCTATGGTAGGTGAATGAGAGAACAGTGTACACGTAACGGCAAGGGACACCGAAAACCCAATTGTCAAGGATCTCAATGTCAAGATGTCAAGATGCTTTTACCATTCGAGTCTTCATGGCTCGGCATGTCTTGTGTGTCCCAAATTTTCTTTGGGCGTATGGGTGTATTCAATGTTTGAAGGAAGTTGTGTAACTAGAGCAGCTCTTTCGTACCCCTAGTACCCCGATTGGCTTGCTGAAAGGAGAGCGTCGCTGCCAGTGGCAGACTATGAGCGCTACAACAGCCAGTACGAGCTCATGAAACAGGTCTGCCAGGAGTTTGAACAGGAGCAGCCAGGAGATTCTGCTGAGGTGAAGAGGACACGCTTTGACAGAATACTCGCACTCATGCAGAAGGTACGTTGCTTTTGTCACAGTTGTTACACAATTTTTGTGGTGTCTCGAAAGGCCACACCAGAACTGTAGAAACTTTGTAAGCAAGAAACATATTTACCGTATTTACTCGCATAGTGAGTGCACCCCCCACAAGGGGTATCAATATTTGGACTTCCTTTGTTTTTCTCGCGTAATGAACACACTTTTTAATTTTTGGATCCTCAAGTCTTGAAGCCAATTTTCTTTTGCTGCCAAGCAGTCAAGTCAAACCAAGCCAAGCCGCTCGTAATGGCTGCGATTGCGTGGTTGCGGAAGTAAACTGAGCGGCGCACACACCTAGCGAAGCTGGGGTCGTGGAATTGCCCAGCCCCAGATGTGCTTCGTCCTTTGGATGCATTGATTGCAACAAACATGCCTTCATCTGTGATCCGCTTTCGGACTGATATCGTGAAAGTGGTTAGGCCTAAGAATGGTCGCGCCGCTCTCCATGCTAAGTGAGCTTCGTAGGGCGCTTTTTCTTCGGCGAAAGGCATGCCAAAAGTGCCCTAGAAAAGGTTTGCAATTTATAGAGCATGGTTACTTTGTCGTGCCCACGACCAGCCACGGGTGTGCCTCTGTCAGTGGAAACGTGCCACAGTATTTTGCAATGTCATATTGGCACCTAAAATGACATTCACGCAAAGTGTGTAAATGCAAAAATTTTACCTCGCGTAATGAACTTACCCCCCAAATATGTGTAAATTTTTCGGAAAAAAAAGTGTATTCGTTATGCGAGTATATACGGTAGTTGAATTATATTCAGGTTTTAGGGGCGAAGCTCCTTAGGGTCTAGCCTTGTCCGTCTGGCGTCCGTGCTCACATCGATTGCACTGCCTCCGGGATCGGCCCACTTTTAAAAAAAAAAAGTACACCCGCATGGGGGTTCAAACTCGGGACCGCTTGCTTACGAGGCAAGCGTCTTAACCACTACGCTACACTTCAACGTTGCATGTAGCCGCTCAACGTCTATACAGGAAGGGCACTGCGGTCATATGTGTTTATAATCGCGTTAAACTTTGCATGCATTGGCTCAACAGTTATAGACAAGAGGGCGCTGCGGTCAAATGCTCAACTGCATATATAAGCACGATTCATACCACACATTCTCTTTCTGACGTGGACCGTTGACTTAAGCGGTGGAGATGCATTCCCACGGCTTCTAGCGGATCCAAGCTGATCCGCTAGAACCACTGGCTCTGCATTTCACCGACCATAAAGCAGTAATAATGAAGTCGAAACGCAACCCGGAACTCGGCACTACCTATGAGCAATAAAAAAAAAGTCAGCACCATCAGCACTACCTATGAACAATAAAATCAGTATCGTCAGCACCACCAGAGCTTCGCCCCAATCAACATCATTCACCACGTGGAGATGCGGCCTCTTTTTATCTATTCCAAAATCCATTCCAACGTTAGGTTGAACTTTCTGCACAATTGGGTGTCAGTTTGGCATGGACAACTCTCTCCTATATTATTTAAAAAAATTATTATCTATCCTGACGCAGATCCGTTTTGGACATTTGTAATTGTACAACACTAAATCTTATTGTATTACTAGGAAGAAGCACTACCTGCAGTTCAGTTACACTCTTGCTGACTTTGCTTACCGTAGTCTTGCCAAGTATCTAGAAGGGAGGTTGTTGTACCAGTCAGTGAACAGATAAGTAGCAATAAATTCACTCTAAAATGCAGAGTCAGATCTCCTACTCCTATATGCCTAACATTTGATTGATGGCAGTACTATTTTAATATTTATTTCATTGTTAGTTTGTTCATTTCAGATGCAGTCGTCGGTCGTTATGCAAAGCCTGCACTAGAGAACTCATTATAAAACGTGAACTAATGTTAACATTTTATTTCCAACACTTTGCAGAGGTTTGCCCTAGTGTTTTACATCTTCAATACCAATACCAAACGACTCTGAAAGTCCAGGCCGAACTTGGTTGACAGGAACTTGGACAGCAAGGTTTTGAGTTGCATCTTTGCCATTTTTTTACAGATGCAAGAGTGTGGACATCCCCCAAAGGAGCTGGTAGAAATTGTGAGTGGAAGTCTTCAATTCAGCACACACTAACATTTTTAAGATCCCTTTATTGAAACCATGCCTAAGATTTCTGATCTTTGTTTTTCGTCTTTCTAATTTTATTGACAAGGCGGCATTTTTACAGTTTTTACATCGGACTGGGCATTGAGCAGGATTTGCACAGGTGCCCAAAAACCATTATACCCTAGTCAATAAAAAAAATTAGTCTGGAAAATCCTTAAATATATGTCAGTTCGAATTGGAGCGATCTTTGCCTTGCCGTTTTTCTGTTCACTGCCATAGATTAAGCAATCGTGTTGTTATCTCTCGCAGAGCCCAGAGTTGGCCGGTCTGGATGAGCACGGCAATCCGTCCATACCGGGATTGCCCGATCAGTGCTCCCTCATGTAGCAACCTGACAGGAACAGAGGTGTGTGCGTGCTTAGACTCTGCTGGACAGTGTTAGTGCGTGCATGGTGGTGGTGGGGCACATGTGGGGTCGAGGGGCTCCAGGCACCCCTTATCCTGCTGGGCGACTGATCGCCCAAAAGCGACGCCTGCTGCTAATCTGGTAGCACTGTATATTTGTACCTAGGTGTCAGCATTTTCTATCGACAGTACAAGTGCAATAAAAGATTTTATGCAGCTACCATCGGGTGCCTGCTTATTGGCCGTGGTATGCCCTGCAAGTAGGCCAGAACGCATTTCTTTGAATGCTGAAGAGGGGTGCAAGATTTCTAAATAAGACAGGAATCTGTTACATCGAGACGCAACTTGAGGCGAAATCGGACGGAAGCAATAAAATCATGCAAATTTGAAGTCAATAATAACATAAGTCATACCTTACAATCAGCTTTGTAGATGTTTTCGTATGCCACTCGTCGGTTGAATCATTTTGTACTGTGTGCGCACAATCTTTCATGAAACGCGAAGCTTCCCTTGAAAACTTGGAGATCAACGTTGCAGCAACATTTCTCTGTCAAAATAAGCCTTGATCAAGGTACAAACGACCACTGCGTGTATAATTCCAAACGGCTGTTGCAATCTTTTGTCCGTCAATTCCTAATCAGATGGGACACGCTTGTGCTCCCCCAGCTCGCCACCCGAAATGGAACAGACCACCCGGAAAGCCCACAATGTGAATATACATATATAAATCAAGTTATGTCGAGCGCCCCTGGTCTTGGCTAAGGGTGGTTTTTCAATTTCAAGAAAACTCACAAACAAGCAGAACGACACAGACATTTTGAGCAAATACTCTTTCTCAAGTGACGGGACCCGAAAAGGGACAAGAAGTGGGTGACAGGAGGCAAGGCCGGTAATTGGGTTGTAAAAAAAAGGAAGGGAGAGGAAATGGGCCTGAGGTTGAGACCCCGCAAGAGTGCATCTGGACGATTCAAATTAGAGGTGAAGAAAACATGTGCTTGGCAAAAAGACGGCGAGGTTCGAAAAATTGGTTGTGCCATAAGCCTGCGGGTGTTTGGAGCGACAATCACCAAAAACTGTCTACAAAAAGCACTCGCTCCCTTTGCCGGACGAAGAAAAGAAAAAGTGCTTTAGAGATGCCATGCTTTGTTGCATCTGTGTACACTGTGGGCAATGTACCATAGAGAGCTGGTATGAGCACAAACGTCTTCATCCTCTTCGTTGGCAGGATCAGCTTAGCCAAGCAGGATCACCCAAAACTTAGTTCCTTTATATTTTTGTTTTTCCCTCCTGCTCTTGACGTTTCCTGCAGCAATTCTTGCTGTGCCTTTCTTGTATGAGGACTTGGGACTCTCTCACGAGTTGCAAGGCGATTTGGTGGTCGTGTTTGCAATATTTTTGCACATAAATCAGGGAGGTAACTGAAACAACATTACTTTTTAGTTATTTTCGAAAAATAGTAACTCTGTTACAGTTACAAATTATTGTCACTAAGCAGTAACGAGTTACAGTTACAAGCTACTGAAAAAAGTAACTAGTTATTAGTAACACATTATTAGTAACTAGTTACCGCCCGGGAGTGCTTCTAGTGTTGTGCAAATATTCGAATAGTAGTTCTGAATTATATGCTATTTGGTATTTGATTTGAAAAGAATAGAGTGGTAGCTGTTAGTGCCCCCTCCTGGCAAAAAGTCCTCATCTATGAATGCAAAATCCCACTCTACAGCAGAAGCACCGCTTTCCCTCTCCCCACGGTTCCTCACAAATACATGCCAACTGCGGCAAGGATCTCTCTTGCTCCCCCTGTAAGTGGCCGCTGTTCCGAAACACCCATGTGATCATCCGGAGAGTGCTCTGCGCCATTCCATCATTCCTGCTGCATCCACATACCCTCCGGTGATGCACTCCCTTCCCTCTCTCCCCGCATCCCCAAACCTCCGGCTTTTGCCCTAGTTAATACCCACTAGGTCACGCTGCAAGGACATGCTCCCTCATCCCCCCACTGCCGCCGCTCAGGTTCCATTCTCGTGTCCTCTCCGCGCGTCTACGAAACTGCTCGTGTGCATACTTCCGCAATTCTTCCACTGCAGGTGCGGTCAAGGGCACCCCCAATCTAAAAAAGTGTTTCAGCAAGAAAAAAAGAAAAAGCATGTCTGTTTTTTTTTTAACGCATCCAACATCTCGCAAAATCATTCTACCCAAGCGCACATCTCCTACATAAATTCCACTGAAAGCAAAGAAGCCACTTCAAGCATTGTGCAGCACACTGACTGAAGACAAATCTCCCTCAACACGCCTTTCCACAATGCAGCAGCTGCTGCTGTCAATCGCAACGCATTTTGTGTTGTCGTTTGCGATTTCTGGAAGTGTGGCTCGCAGCAGGTGAGCCCTGTTGAGTGTGCTTCTTACAAAGCACCGGTGCACTGCGGAGAAGCAACATCTGCTGATCCTCGCTTCCACGGGTGTTGCTTTTCCCCAGTGCACAAGAGCTTGGTGAGAAGTGCGCTCGATGGAACTAAACGCCACAATCAACACTAAAAAGTAGAAATATTGCAGCCCCATGCTTAGGAGGAAAGCAGATATTAAAAGCAGGGTCATACACATGTACGTCTAGTGTATTTAAAAAGAAACGGAAACTTTGCGACTGTTATCTACATTGCAATAAGTTTCAAAATTACAAGCTATTATGCATGAGTATGTTAGGCAGAGATGCCCGACAACCTACATTAATGATTTATGACTGAATATATTTGAATCTCCTCGACTAGGTATAGCTGGGCATCTCTATAGGTTTAATTTTACGTAAAATGTGCCATTCACTTGCCAACCCTATGTAGGCATTGAACTTTCCGAAGCCACATTGGATAAATATAGTCAGATTAAAATTAATTTAGCCCAGAAATGGACCAGTCAAGCCTTGGGAACAACCTCCATGAGTTCAGCTGGATTTTCACTTAAGCATGGTGCAGTAGAGAAAGGCTTAGGTGGTTCAGTCGGGTTCGCTGGAAGTGGAGCACCTAGAAAACGTGCTATGGTGTACCACACGACTTCAGGTTGGCCCTGTGGTACATAGGAAAGAGGAAAACTACAGCCAACACTCTCTTGCTGCACTGAATGCATAACTGAAAAATCGTAAATGATGCCACATTGATTCAAGGATCCAATTTGTGAGAGGGAGGGGTGTTATTCGGTTCCCTACTGCCAGCTTTCTTTTCACGGTTCCTGTAAACTTGGATCCACATGCCTAAAACATTAGTATGAAGATTCTAAGAAACCTCCAAAAAGCAAGGCCAAGTCAAATTATAAAACAATATAATTTATTAACTAGAGAGAGCAAAAACATTAAGGAGCCTGGGAAGTGCAGATTCAGAAAGAGAGTGCCTTGGTCACTTGCGATGGTCTGCTCCGACTGCGTCTGCAATCGTGGTGTAACCATCTTTGCTAAAATGAAAAAAAAAAAAAAATGGTTTTACACATTTACACAGACAATTGATTACCAAAAGTAGTTTTCCGAATTAGCAAAAAGGGAGATTCAGCTTATGGAGACACCAAGTCGGACATGGAAAACGTGAGCCTTGCTTATTTTCTAAGAAACTGATACTTTTATGCTTCCATTGTGGTGGTATTGCCAAAAGACTATTTCTCAGGCTTGAAGATGTCTGTGGGTCTCTAAGGGGGATACCCTTCTTATTCTCCAGCAGCTGACATTGCAGCGCGAGGGCAAACAATTTCAGAAACCACCCAAAAAACCAGTTTCACTTTTTATTTGGTGATTGAAACATTACCAATGTGATGCAGCAGGCACTGAAGGACCTAAGAAAATAAAGCAGACAAGTTCGTTAATACTAAGAGAGTCAGCTTGAAGTACCTTAGCAAAACAAGGGCTGCCATTTCGAGGCCACCCAGAACACCCCTTTTTGGAAACCCAAGAGTAAGGAGAAAAATGAAGAGAAGAAAATTTGGCAGAGAGCTATGCGAGGCAGTCCGCATGTCTTGTGAGTTTTCATACATGGCAGCAGGTAGGCCACATTGCCATTATTATATGCTTTGTTTGTTCTGTTCACTACATTCATTGGCAGTCGTAATGCACTCCCCAAGTATCTTTCCCTAACGGTGAAACAAGGTTCTATAAATATAGGTAGTTTCATAGAGATTCAGGCAGCGAGGTACATTCATTGTTTCTTTAAACTTTTGTCTGTTGTTGCCTAAGAAAAAAATATATATCGTCCTTGAAACATCCTAATATGATATAAAAAAATAAATATGAAGTCCCAAACACGCAACAAAAGGACAGCAGGCTTTTGATGGTGGTGGCTGCAGTCTCTTGAACCGTTGTCAACCCTAAGCCCCTAGCGATGCCAGCCAAACACTTCTTTTAAAAGCATTAAAATACATTGTTTAACTTTTTCCTGACCACAGGAAAAGCAGCAATTTTCAAAAGACCCGTGCAAACGGTTTTATTTTCCTAACTAACTTCCATATGGAGCAATATGACACATCACAATGAGGCCAATTAGTTCTTTCAAAAGAAATGGAGGTTGATGTAGTCTATGAAAAAAGATTTTAAAATTTAATTTCTTGAACATACAATGCTTGTGTGAAAGGCGTATAGACGCCAAAACTTCTACAGCTATGTCAAATTAAACGACAAATAAGCAAAATTCTGAATATAGCAAATGTGCCCCACAGCTATTACTTTTGAAAGTTTGTGTACTGCAACTGACGTTGTCTATTTTTGATTCGTTGGAGCATCAGCCTCCGTAACGTGTGTGCTTTTCAATGAAGGAATGCTTATATTGGTGAAACACAGATAGTACACCTCACATCCCCAGCAGGACGCTTTCCTTGTGTTCTACCCTGGTTTTGTCATAGCCTCGATTACAGTTCCTTCATATTTAGAATTTTTCTGCACCTTGTTGAGAACATAAAATGTGCATGCCTGCTCAGGACACCCTTGGAAATTATAGAGATGCTTACCAACGACCATCTGTTAAGCAACGCCTATAACATCATTTGAAGTGTCCACAGAGCTCTCGTGGTCTAAAAAATATGCCACAATACAGTTGAACTATGTAAATAATGCCATACTTGTTAAGAAGACTGATGCAAGCAGTTAGTCATCTTTCTGCACCTTGTTCGGAAGATAAAACGTGCAAGCCGGCTAAGGACAACTTTGGAAATTAGTGGTTCTTACCAACAATCACCTGTTAATCAATGCCTATAACACCATTTGAAGAGCTCTTGTGGTCTAAAAAAATATGCCATAATACAGTTGAATTATGTAAATAATGCCATCTTTGTTTTACAAAGACTGATGCAAGCAGTTAGCCATGTTAGACAAGTGCAACCATTGTGCCCACGACTATTTTTGACAGCCCACCAGCTTGTGATAAAGCTTAAACCTAAATTGAAAGCGAAACTAGAGTTCTTCGGCTGTCCACTAGATTGTAAAACATAATTCTACACACTAAATTTAATTTCTTGACGGCGCTTAGACACCAGCGATCACCAGTGGTCGATGGACTATGGGCACGGTCAGGGAAGAGTTTAAAAAGAAGAAAAGAAATTATCAGTTGCTTACAAGTTCATAAATGTTTGAACACACCTTTGTGGGCAATTATGCTATAGTACTAGTGCTCGGGGTACTGCAATTTAATTGGTAGAATGTAACATCTGAGTGCCGGCTCACAAACAGATAAAATTGATGCTTGCTTTTTTTGGGGTCAATAATAGAAAACAAGAACTTTCCAGTGCTAACGGGTAGAGGAGGAAAGAGGCCTCTAAGCAAAAAAAAAGTTTCTTGGCGCAAGATTTACTGCTACAGTGTTGGGTAATAGAAGGAATGCGGCTGGTTGGCAGGGTTGCGAGCGCGAGGGCTCAGTTGTTACCTCAGGAGCTCCGCGAGGCGCTCCTTGACGGTGCAGACGGCAGGCGGCCCGTAGAACACCAGGGCCGAGTACATCTGGAGCAGGGAGGCCCCAGCCTTCACTTTGGCGTATGCATCTTCCCCGGTCAGCACACCCCCGACCCCGATTATGGGCACGCTGCCTGCAGACAAGAGCATTCCACACTTGGACCGGCTGCAAAAGCCATGTCCCTAGCTCTGGGTAAAACTGGAAGTGCCAATTTTTAGCTGATCACCCTATAACTTTCTTTAATATTAGAAGTAGTATACTATGGGCATCAAAAAATCGTTCAGCCTTTCCACTCTCGTGAAGAAGGAAGACCAGCGGAGCTGTACTCTATACACAGTGTGCTTCTTCGTCGTCGTCGTCTGTTTTTCGCGTTGTTTCCTACGATGAATTCCCACCAACGCGCCCAACTATCCATTCTTCTATTATAGCTGGAAAGGTTGGCGCCATCTACGAGCGACGGCGGAAACCATACTGGTTGTGTGCTTGCCGTCGTCGCTTACAGATGGCAGTAGCTGTCCAGGCACGTTGGTGTCGACATACCGGACACTATCCTGGGGAACCTAGCCCTTAACAGCTTCGCTGTAATACGTAAACTAGGCTACGTAGAGCAAGACCTATAAAGTTGTATATTTTCATAGCTCGAAATTTCGCCTAGGCCAGCAGATGCCCCTCTACCAGGGAGCCCGGCATGCAAACTGATAGTCAACATTTGAGAAGTTTCACTGGCTACACATCTAAAAAATTTTCAGCCTTTCAACTCTGGTGAAGAAGGAAGAGCAGTAGAGCTGTATCTTCTGTTCTCGGCGGTGGCTTTCCAGGCGAGCGATCTGCTCTTCTTTCGGAAGGGAATCTGAAGCGTTCGATGCAGTGGAACTTTAGGCGATAGCGGCCTCGCGGCGGCTGCGGAACCATTTGTGCTGCTGCGCACCCATCGCCCGCTCGTTTCGTTCCCGCTCTTCTTCCTCCGAAGAAATGTTGCTGCCATCTATGAGCGACGGCAGCAGCCAGTTGTCTGGTTGAAGGAGCTGCAAAGGTTGCCGCGGTCTATGAGCGACGGCGGCAAGCTGACAACCAGCAAACGCAACACTCTGGACAGCTACCGCCATCTATGAGCGACGGCGGCAACCAGAGTGTTGTGTCGACATTTGTTTGGTAGGCCCTGCAATCATATTTAAGCGTCCACTTTTTTTGCGGTTTCCACGTCTCTTGGGGTTCAGGCAATCCAGCGGGCACGGAGAGAGTAACTAAATATCAGTGCGTCATATTTTAACCAGACGACGCGGAAACCTCCTCCACCGACGAGGGCGACCCGCGGTACCGAAAGCGCGCAAAATGTGACGTCTTTGGTCCTGGGCTTACTACTGGTCAGAGCCGCTAAAAGCTTCTTTTTAGTCGAAATACAAAATATAAGTGGCGCGAACCGTTTCAATTTTTTATAAAAGTTGTTTTTGTTCAGTATTTTAGATAAAAAAAGAAACGAATGCAGTTCATAAAGTACGGAAACAAGAAATGACCCGTCGGCATACCCGCCACCAAGCGGTGGAAAAGGCGGCGCACACTAGAAAGGAGTTGTGGGATCAGGCGCCGACACGGAAAGGTCACGGATGTATGCGGCGGCGCTGCGGTCATTTGGGCAGGAGGATCCGAGCGGCTCCGAGCGTTCCGAAGGCCTTCGGCGAGAAGCTTTGTCTTGCGGTTTGGCCGTTTCGCGGTATGGCAGCGCAAAGTAGCTCCCATTCTAAACTGATCTTTACCCCGTGTTTGCTGTCGTTTGCGGCCAATGAAGTGTCATGCCGAATTAGTATTTAATCGCGCAGCAAATGCAATGAGAGCTGCTCTGGCTGCCCGCTGCATGCAGCCTATCCAGAACAAAGCTTCAATGGCGCCCTCTCGCGCCGTCGACTCGGAGTGCGGCAGCCGTGAGCACTCGGTAAGCTCACTACCCCTCTTCTAGTTCACGGCCACTCTCAAGCAACCAAGGACGTCATGAGGGAGGTTATTTTTTGCTTGTTTTTGTAATTTTAACTTGCCTATAACTTTTAAAATAAAGGGAATTTCGAGAAAAGAAAAGTTTCACTAAGTTACTATGTTCAGTGCGCTCAGGTTCGGTGCAAATTAAAAATTAGTAAAAAAGTCATTGCAGGGCCCCTTTAAGGGGAGACGCTACCTGGGCATGTCTACTTTTGAACCTCTCACTGAATCAGCGTGAAATTTGCAGGTGGTGTTTGTAGCCATATAGAAGGAGGGCATGCAAAGTTTCAGCCCTGTGAACCAATTTTATGAGGTTCTATACCCCCCAAACATAAAGCATAGCTCTGTATGGAATCTGCTCAATGAATCTATTGTTGAGAAATGGTGTTGATCACCATATATTTTTCTGGTGGAATGCATAGTGGAATATTTGTTCCCGGTTACTATGAAAGGAAATCTAAAAAATATGCATTTTCCAAATAAAAAAAAATGTATGAAATTCTTTTTTTTCTTCTTTACATTTGCCAAGTTTTGCAAATTACAATTTTTCATAATGAAGGAACATGAAAATACAAAATCTAAGTCCATAGTAACCGGCTCGGTAAAGTTTTGGCATATAATCCGCAAATATTAAGTCTCTCGGTAATTTCACACTGAAACAATAGTTTTATTAAGGTGGGATTTGCGCAAAGAAGCGAAGCTGGGATATATGCACTTGAAGTTTCAAGATGACGTTTGAAAAATTTCTTTTTGAGTCTTAGATGTCAGAAATTCTTTCCAGCAGCGGAGGTGATGTCTTCCTCAAACTTCTTGATATGCTGACATTGTTTTCAGCTATTTTCACTTGTGGATGACGAGAGCTACACAGTGAAGCACACCTCACCAACATATAAAGAATAATTATTTTTAACATTGTTTGTCAGTGTACATTGACAAGACTTTGGAGAGTGTTCCTTGTTACCTATACATGCCAAAACTCTGCAGTTCTGAATATGCATTTTTTTGGAAAAAAAGGTGCAATTCAAGGTAGTGTCCCCCCTTAAAGGGACACTGACACCCCCCAAACATTTTTTCATTTTTTGCCAGGCGCTTCATTATGGTGTTGGAGGACTACCCAATTAATATTTTGCAACAGAATAGCATATATTTTTATTAAAGCCAAAAGACGCAAGTGCTCGAAACCAAAACCCGTGCACAGGGGTCGGAGAAGTGGAGAAAAGAGAGTGAGTGGCGGAAGTCACATAACTACACCTGACCGTGCGCTTTTTTTTTCTTTTCCCCTCCGCGTGGCAGACGACATGCGTGGCGCCGTAGCGGGAACTGCTTGCCGTGCGATTCTTTTGCAGTTATGTTTGTTCCGCTTGCTGTTCTGTACTTCAAGATGAGTTGTTTTGTACATTGAGGAGTTGGAGATGAGTATTGAGTGCCCGTGGTGAATTTCCGTGATCGGCTCCGAAAAGAATACACCCAAGATGCTGCGTGAAGAGCTGGCTCACATGTCCTGCGTCTAAAAAAAAGTGGCACTGTGCGACCGAGTTTCCGAAAGATCAACAGGATCGGGATCAGTGGCTGGCTGTAATTCCTGTAGAACATTTACGGGAACCTCGGAAAGCGGACGCTACCCGATTTATATGCTCCTTGCATTTTGTGGAAGGTGATTACATTGAGTTTGCATGTGTCAAAAAGGAAATCCAATACCATTTAGTTCAGCGACATTTTGTCCACAACATTTGTTTGTTATTTTTTGTTTGTTTCTTCAGTGATAATTGTAAAAAAAAAAAAAGAAATGTAAACATTACAAAATGTCTAAAAAAAATTTTAAAAGAAATGGAAAAAAGAGTGTGGTTTCACTGGGGATTGAACCCGGTCCTGTCGCGTGTGAAGCGGACGTCTTTCCACTAAGCTACTGGGGGAACTATTCGTGATAATGCAGCCGGTCTACAATACTTCAGAAAGCTTGCTGCTGATTTTCCTCCAGCAAAAGCACTTCCGGGTCGAAGTCGAAGCACCACGCATTGGCGACATTTGCACCTAGTAAAGAAATCGTAAGCGTGCATATTGAACTCGAAGTACACACTTCGTACTTGACGTTTGCGCGAGCGATGTCTTCAGCCACGAGAGGGAAGCGACGGCTCGGCAATGTCTTTGTGCAAATCGGCTTGGTGGTTGAACGTGTCGTACAGGATGAATACCAATTCTTTTGACCAGTCCCAAATTTCTCTTTTAAAGGCAGACAGAATTCGCCGGTACCGCAAACAACAATTCTGAAGTAGGAGGTCCCACGCCCGTCGTCCGCTGCCATCGCCGTCCCCGTGAGTCCCACGATACGCAAAACGACGCACGCACAGAATGCTTCCAGTTCTCTGTGCAACTTTGTTTTTTTTCAATCAACGTATTTGCAGCTTTTTAGAAGCCACAAAAAATTGTTTTCATATTTGTTCTATTTTTAATATTGAGTGTGTGCCTTCAGTGATCAACGACTTTGATTAAATTTGGTGGTCGCGTCGAAACCTTAGAAAACGGCCAGTGACCACGGAAAAGTGAGCGAGCGAGACTCAAACTGGCCAGTTCTTGATCGGCGGTTTTCGGGCGGAAAGAAACCGAATTCCGAGCCGTAAATTGTGTTCTGGGTAGTTGGGCTCTCATATGTCATGTACAACTAAAAACCTCGGCGAGCATAAATACCCTGTCAGTGTCCCTTTAACAGCTCCGCTATGAAAATGGTGCAAAAAAGACGGGTCGCATGGTGAAATCAGACAAAAACCGTGGTGCCAGTTTGGGGAATGTTTCTTGTCTTGTCCCTGTTCTTAATGAACCTTTTGTAACATGCACACAGAGGGTGTGGCATAAGAAACAATGAATTCAAATTAGTGATGGGAACCTATGTTGGGAGATTTAGCTCAAAAATTCCCTTTCCTTACCTAATGAATTTGCTAGCTTCGGATTACATGGTGTATTGTGGACAGTGTTGCCACAGCAATCATAGGAGGTAACATCATACCATCATTTGTTGTGTAGACTGAAAGATAGCATTTGGGGACAAACCTTGATGACATTGAGTTCTTACTGCCTGTGGCAACTGTCAACAAGTGACTCAAAAAGCCAGTGGTTTTATCATGAAGATGACCATACATGCTCTGTTCACAGTTAATGTAATGCAGGTGAGAGAGAAATGGCTACAGCTGAAAATAAAATTCCTAAAGGTGGCTCCTATCCCCTAAATAAATGCTAAAAATAATCAAAACGGCAACTAAAAATTAAGTTTAAGAAAAAAAAGTCTGGAATATATGCAATGGGTTTTCAAATGAGATCTCAGATTGGAGGTACCCAATTGAGTATTTTGTTAGGAAAGGCAAGAGGTGGGTCAAGTAAAAGTATTTTAGCCACAAAAATAGGAGTACTCATTTGAGTAAAGCTTGGCTTCTTCCTTTGCCAGGTAATGGCACCATGCATGTAAGCACATCTCAAACATATGCATCCTAAAATCGCAAGTTCTGGGGAGCAAGACGATGATGACCACGCCTTTTGTTTTATTGTCTATACCAGAGGCCGGTAATCCGCGGCCCTAGGCACAACCTCGCCGCTTCCCCACACAAACCGAAGGAAGGACCACACGGAAGTTTTGAACTCGACACAAGACAGAAACAAGAAGTGCGCTTCCCATTGGCATTGTCTGTCATCCCCATACTTAAGCAGAAAATGTTTTCACTTATTTTTTGCCTTTCCTTGTCCCTCCTCTTCCCCCCCTCCCTCCCCCTCTTTGCAACTTGGCGCTGAACCCCCTCCATGTCGGATTTGTGACAACTCGGCCCTCCGCTGCGAAAGGTTGCCGACCCCTGGTCTACGCTATTAGATGCTCAGGATTTCATAAGTGCTAACTGTGAAGCTGACGCAACCTGCCGGGATTTCAAAATATTTTAAATGCCTGCTGTAGAGATTTTGAATTTCCTTGGCCAATTTGTTTCGTGGTACCCCAATGATGTATGTGTTTCTGCTTATTAGTCGTTGAAACGCACCTCGCTCTCTCCATCTCCAGTACACATAGTTTTTCCTTTTTACTAAGTGTTTATCAAATGACGATATTGCCCAGGCAAGGGTGGAAAGTTTGGTCAGTTGGTGATCCATAATATTTAAAAAGTGCAATGGGATGCAGACAAGGACAATGGATGGAGACACAGTCTTCCGTCTCTGTCTATCTTCCTTGTGCGTCTCGTTGCGCTTCTTAAATATTACGAAACATTGCCTAGCCTTTTCACTCGGCTCAAGTGTTTGTAGTGCATACTGCAACATTTCCTTTACACCGAAAACAGTACCATGACTGAATAGCTGGAAGTTCAGTTCTTCGGGACAAACAAACTGCAGGCTTTTCTCGGGTCTGGCAAAAATCGTACCAAAACCACTTTGTTTACGGAGTGCTGGTGGTTGATCTGAACAAAAAGACATAGAGCAGTGACTGGTTCGCGGGACTTCCAGACGAGGAGCCTCCAAAGTAGCGGGGCCCTCTAATTTGGCTGTTAGGCGAAGGGTGCGCAACCAACCTTTGGTCAGACGATACATGTCCGCGATGGTCCTGGTCGAGAGGTCGGTCAGGGGCCTTCCGCTCAGGCCCCCCGCCTGATGCCTGTGCTCGCTGTGCAGCTCGGGCGGCCTCTTTACGGTCGTGTTGCACACCACCAGACCGTCCACCCGACACTGGAATCAGACAAAGCACGTCGGTATCGACAGCGCTTTCAGTGCTCCGTAGTTACCATTTACTATCAAAAATTCATAAATGTGTCATCATCAAGGGTACTTCTGGTTTCTGGTCAATGGCACTGCCAGGAATTTTTTTCGGAAAAGAAGGGGGGGGAGAGAGTTGGGTGGGGGAGGGGGGCGGGGAATCAAATGGCATGCGTACATTATAGGTAGGGCTCAGTGTTTTCGGATAAATCCGAAAAACTCCGAAAAATACCCGCCGGTAAAATTTTGGTCAATTGGGATTTATCCAATAAACTCCAAATATTTATGTGTTAATAGTATTTATTTTATTTATTTTTTTTTTTTTTTTTTTTTTCAGTTTGATCAACACAGAGTTAATGGTCCTGGGAAAATTCCACCATAATTATCTTTCAAATTTCGGACCGCTGTCAAAAGGGTTCTTGCCGCTTGTCTCTTCAAGGTTGATTCAGGGCAACAGGTCGTTCGTTGTACATTCGGGTCACGACAAAAGCCACTCTTTTGGTTTCCGGTTTGGGCCGTGCGATTAGTGATTTAGAAAAAAAAAGGGGTATGTTTTAGTAACATTGAAAGCTATGGACCATAGGGATTGTATAAAATTGGGAAGAGGGGCAGTTCAAACTTTCTATTACCTCCTTAACCACTCTACCTCACGCGGCCGCGGTCTAGATTGATGGAATAGGATGGGATGACCACGAGCTTCCTAGCGACTACCTCCGGGAGTTTATTGATTTTAAGGTATCGGCGTTTATCGAAGTGCCACTTGTGTGTGACTTCTGTCGTGGATAAACAACGCTACGTCCGTGTCACTTTTTTGTCTGGTCCTCGTCTTTTCGCGGTTTTTAAGTCTAAAGGATAAATTAGTATTGCCAACAGCAATGGCACCAACGCCAAATTCAACTGAAAATATTTCAACTGATACAAGCGCGTCTTCTTTTTTTTATCTGGCATACATTTACATTCGGTTATTACTTACTTATTTATTTTTAATAGGAAACACAGTGAAATCAAACTCCGAATTTTGGAGAATTGGGAATCAAAAAAATATAAACTCCGATAAACTCCGAATCTTCGGCAAAAAATAAACTCCGAAAAAACACCCTCCGAATTTGACGAAAAATAAACGCCGAAAACATGGAGCCCTAATTATAGGTAGGATTCCATGTTTTTGGAGCTGACTTCCGGTGAAATTCAGAAAGCGTTTCTTGGAGTTTATTTTTTGCAGAGAATTCAGGGTTTATTGGAGTTTACTTTTTTTAGATTTCCCATTCTCTGAAATTCTGAGTTTATTTTAAGGTATTCCCAATTTTTCTTTTTTTCATTCAAAATATAAAATAAATTTTAGCACCATGACCCACTGTCCTAAAGAAAGCTTCACGAGCTGAAAGGCAAACCCCTTTTGTCGGTAGTTTGATATTAAAGGAAACTGAAGTTGCATCTCTTCGGGACCACTGACCCTGTGCTTTTATGAAATTTATTTGTAAAACACGGTCCTTTTTGCTTTTTATTTTGTCATTGTGACCTCAAAATTTGGAGTTTTTCAGGTAAATCAAAATCGGCTTAAAACTCACCGGCAAACGTTTTTCTGATTTACTCTAAAATACGGAACCCTAATTATAGGGCCAGTTGGATGTCGGCAGTGTCATTGGGAAGGACCTTAAGCAGTGTTGGGTAAAGTACATCCAAAATATACTTCAAGTAAAGTAGTTAGCACACCAGACACAAGGGAATTGAAGTAAAGTACTATATATACAACATACTTTCAAAGTAAAGTATGAGCACTTTTTAACAGTATCTTCAGTGGTGCTCTTTCATTCCCCCAGAGTGATTTTTTTTTTTTTTTTAACTGGTATGAATTGTTTTAGGGGTAATGGGGGTGCAACAGCTATTTTCGGAAATGGTGGCAAATTCAAATGGCCACAAAGCAATTTCTTGCGGAAATGGCACCAAATTCAGAAGTTTTTCCAATTTCTGAATTTGGTGCCGCTTGCAGTGGCCTGCACCCAATGGGGGTTAAACATACTAGGAAAGAGCATGACGTCGGCCACGTAGCTTCCGCAAGCAATCTTTTCGTAGAGGAGTGTCCTCTCTTAATATTTTTAACCTCCTCGCTTACACTGATGGACTGAGAAGTAGAGTGAGTTCAAAATGCTGCAGGAAAGGTGCCCCAGTACAAACGAAGTGATGCGTCCATTTGCAGTCTTGTACACATTACTCCAGAAATGTAATTGAATAAAATTACTATTACTTTTAGTTAAAAAGTATTCCATTATATTACTTGGTTACATAAGGAAAAGTAACTGACGGTTACTTGAACAATTAACTGTTACTTTCCAATTGCTTCAGACTTTCCAAACGTCATACCTTTCCGCCGGTTTAAAAACTGGTCTTTTGTACTGTCCCATTATTAGATTAGAATCACCGAGTTACAAACTATATGGATCTTTCGTACCTGACAAGCGAGCAGACGACGCATCGCTGTGTTTGGAGTGATGCGTCATCTTGTTCAAACGGCGTAAATGGTGTACCGTCATGTGAAAACGTTTTATCGTCTTTTGAGACGTCATCTACCGTAATATTCCGAGAGATAGCCCACCTACCGTCGTGAAAATATTGGGTGAAAATAAGGAGTGGGTTAACTTTCGGTGTGAAATCAAAAAAAGTCTTAAAAAATGCTATTTTAAAATAACGTGTCCATTCCAAACTTGTTATTGTGGCGGGGGCAATAAAGCAAAGATGACTGTACTTACCAGTCAGCAATGTTCGCTTATATCCTGCCATAGCTAACTAGATGCATATACGCCGAGGTCATCATCGATCCCAACACTGTGATTACTACGAGTGGACTATCTTTTGGTGTTTAAAAGAAAATAGCAAATCAAGTCAACAATAAGGGTGGGTTACCTTTCACAAGTGGGGCATCTCTCGGGATTTTATGTAAGTCCTTTCTCTGTGTGAAGTAGGCTATAGACAGATTTAAATAAGTGCCTTATAAGTTGATTGTGTTAAATAGGTCGTCAGCGAGCACAAAAACTACCCTGGCCACTGCACTTTATCTACTATTCGCCACAACTTCCAAAAATAACTCATGCGCCCCTGATTACGCCTTCGGCAATGCATACCAGTAAAAAAAAAAAAGAAGAAAACACTGTACGCTAAAATGAAATGGCATCATGAAGGATTGTTAAAAAGTACTTGTACTTCACTTTGAAAGTATATTGCATTTATAGTACTTCATTTAAAGTATGCTGCGCTTGGTATACTTACTAGTTTACTTGAAGTACATAACCTTTTCCTTACTTTGTACTTTACTTCAAGTACTTTTTAGATGTACTTCAGTCAACACTGGATTTCGGCAGGAGGGAGGGAGTGACGGGGGCTGAAACCCCATAAGCACACCCCCTAGCAATGCCACTGTTGGTGATTGTTCAATGCAACACGATAAGATGAGAAAAAAGAGCAGTGTTTGTCCCCTGCCACGAAGAAAAGATATGCTTGTTTTGCATAAATTTACATCAATCATGATCAATTTTCTGCTACACGTTTGCAACAATTCATCTGGACCTTAGTTTGGCCCACACAAAAGACTAAAATGTCACAAAGAATCATATGCTATACCTACTTCTGAGCATAAGAAATAAATGGCATAATGGTGATCGGGGCAAAAACAAACCATTCCTCAAAGCTATAGACTCCAAGGCGAGATGCACATTGCAAAGTACTGTAGTGCCAAAGAAGGCTACTCTTGCCTTTAATGAACTAAACAAAATGTATAAAAGGGAAATGATATTGGAAGGGTGTACATGTGAAAACAATGAAGCACCATCAAAGGACTGGGGCATGACAAAACCCAGTCCTTCTCTGTGATGAACAATACAAAGATAGCATTTTGTGCATCTGTGGTTTTGGCAGCAGAAATAAAAGCTCCACCCAGTAACCCGTTGCTAATGTATCAGAAAGAAACAAAAACCTCTTTGCTTGTCACGACAGCGGCAATGTCTGCCTTTTCCTGGTCACTCAGGTCAGGTGCCACCTTCACCAGAACAGGGGTCCGTTTGGAAAGGGAGTCTCTTGCTCCCAGAACCTGCAGTGAGTAGGATGCATTGTGGCCTTTTGGAATCGAGCTTTCAATTCTGAATGGCCGAAAATAGAAACATCGGAGGCCATTCAATGCTGAAAGGCTTTTTCGGTCATCCTATTCGACTCGCTCCCCAGCAGTACGAGCATAATTCCGCTAACTCCATTGCTCGCCACAAGGTGGCGACGTTCTCCTAGTTACCACAAAGCGACGAGCCATCAGCGTCGCAGGCATTGCGATGGGTGGTGCGGGCTTCATCTTGCATTCACCCAAGCTCTGCGGTCTGTTTTGTTTTTGTTAACTTCCTGGTCTGCCGAAATGGGTACCGTAGAATACCGCGCATCCGCCCATTGCACATCAAACGTCCATTCCCAAATTTGTAAGATCTGAGAAAATACACACAGTACATTTCTATGTAAAATTGATGACTGGACAAGTGCCCATCCCCCATTTTTTTGCGATTATCTCCAAGGTTTGAGTGGGCACTTCCCCAGTATTTTACGGCAGTGGAGTTGGGCTGAGGGTTTCGTGGGAAGAAAAGAAAAGGTTACTCTGGTGGGACTGCCGAACTGGTTTTCCTTTATCTGCCGAATCAGCTTTCTACAAAGCTCATTTTACGTGCGTTCTGCGTTTTCACAGCAATAGCTGTTATGGGCTCTTTCCTCATTCAAAATGATGCAGTGTGTCCGTGTTCTCACGTGACGCCGTGCCGTCATGTGACTTCATGATGTCTTGTGACGTCACAATGCCACGTGGTGCCACACCGTCACATGACATTATAGTGTCACATGACACCTTAACCCCTTAAGTGCCAAATTTTTTTTTCCAAAAGTAACCTAAAAGTGCCATATCTTTTTTTTTATTTTGAATTGTTATTCCTCTAATATTACATATAAAATTTGAAAAGTTTATTACGCAAAAATCAGCGGAGGCGAAAAAAATATTTGCCAACTAAAACGAGTGCTGCCATCTATGGTCAGCACCGCTAAACTACTCGAACGAGCCTAGCTCGTCCGTGGAATTGAGGGCTACCGAAAAAACCACTGGACAAGCTAAGCTCGTCCACGGCATTTTTAGCCAGTAAGTGGCCGACAAGTTCAGCTCGTCCAAGGCACTTAAGGGATTAATACCACGTAACTATGCGAGTAGTCGCATGACATATCAACTATCTGGATAGTTTTATGGTTATGGGTGAGTGTGTCACTTTTCGAGCAGGCACTGGCGATGGTTCCTCCACGTAAGATGCAAGATACACAAGGATAGTTTAGGGTTCGATAAGGTGTTTGTTGTATTTTAATTTTTTGCATTTACCATCTACACTAGCCAGTTGGCACCACCGACCACCTTTGGCGCCCATGTTTTCAGGGTTGCGTCCTTGTGGCGCTTGACCCCATGTTGTTGACCGTTACATAAACGAAGTACGGTTCAGTTTCTCCAACTGGTCAAACATTTCATTTTTTTGGGGCTCCCCGCCCGGGCCCCGCCGGTCACCACCTTTCAGCGGCATGTAAGACCCTTCCGTTCCGCAGGACCGTGTAGGCTCTGCTCTCATTTTATTTTCACAGGTTTCCGATTTATGGCGACAAGGTAATTTATTACAACATTTTGGCGACGAGCCAATTACTATACTGTTGTAGCTATCGCTGTAATTGCAAAGAGAGCCTAGATTGTAGAGAGGGACGTTCATCTCAAACCATGCGGAGCATTTGCAATTTAATGACGGACACCTTCCACGCCGATTGGTCGCAAGTGCGCATGCGCAGCATTTTCACGTGGTGAGGAGTAAAACAAAAGGAAAAGCAAAGATGCTTGCAGACGACCAACGCTAATGTTTGCCAACATGCTCGTCCCCTGTGGCAGCGGTGGTAACTTTTAAAAAAGCTCTTGACATAGATGTTCCACATATTAGAAAGCACAGCGTGCTATAAGAGTTGACAGCACTGATTTTGCCAAATTTAGAGAAGTGCCCCTTTCTATCGCGCCCAGCAAGGATGACCATAAAACAAAAACTTCTGGGATTGTAATAGAGAAGTTTGTATGGCTATTCCTGGTCAACATAGGAATTACTATGACAAACAGGGTAGCTTATCGAAAGAAACTGCCCAAAGCCACTGCATCGCAAAGTACCAGGTAGTAGCTTATCAAAAGAAACTGCCCAAAGCCACTGCATCGCAAAGTACTTTGCGTCTAATCTAAAAATCCAAGGCTTGGAATCTGTAAATAAACCAGGTTGGAAGTTGGAATACCGAATAAACCAGGTTGGAACATGGCTAGAATTTATAAATAAACCAAAGTACTTTTTCTCGAGATCCCATTCCCTGTTTGCGTATCAATTAAGCTACATCACAAGGTGCATAACGGGATGCGGTGGTTTGTGCCATATGTGCAAAAGACTGTACGTTTACTAGATAACGCCCTACATTTTTAATCAGTACCGACATTTATCACGAAGTTTATAAAAAGAAATGGAGAAATCATTGCGAGTTGGTCGTATCTCACCTCCATAAATTTTTCCCTAAAGCCGGGGTCACACTGCTTATAGATGACATGAAAGACAGTCTGCATACAGATTTGAACGCGAGTCACAGCGAGATCCGTGCTTCGAATGCCGCGTGGCAATAAGTTCAAGGAGAAACTTGGCACGTGGCATTTGAGTCGTGGATAATGTGGTGACTAGTGCTCGCGAACTGTCTTGTGTGATACAGTAAAACCTCGTTATAACGAAATGAGATATAACAAACTAATGGATATAACAAAGCAACCACAATTCCCCTTGCTTGCTAATAGTAGGAAGAAATGGACAGTGGCTATAACAAACTAATGCTTATAACGAAATAATCACGACTGATCCTTCAACTTTGTTATAACGAGGTTTTACTGTATATAACCAGTGTGACCTCGGCTTAAAGCCAGGGTCACACTGCTTCTACATTATACAAAAGACACTCTGCAAACAGATTCAAATGCAGGTTACCACAAGATCCAGGCTTTGAATGCGACATGGCTATGAATTTGAGGAGAAACTTGGCACGCGGCATTCGAACCACGGGTATCTGCAGTGCAGACTGTCTTTTGTATCATGTATAAGCAGTGTGATCCCAGCTTAAAGGTGCTTCTAGTACAAGCAAACACCACAATATGACATGCCTCATTGTGTAATAAATAATTTTAAGAAATATTGAAAGGACAACACAAGGACTGCACTTTAATAGTATCAAACCTCGTGCTCAGGCTCAAAAAGCTATGTTGAACAACATGCAGAGATTAAAAAAAAAAAAGAAAAAAAAGTACAGCATTATTATTTTTATTTAGAGAAATGCAAATTTTTTATGTAGGAAGCTATTTTTATTTTTGTTTTTTTGTTTTATATGCGCTACAAATTGCAGTGAAATTTATCAAAAGGCGTGCTTGTAGCGCTAGCCACCACAAGTCCAGATGAATATTTCAAATTAAATAAGCACCACAACTTGTATATCTACTTCCCCAGAGCAGCTGTTCACCGTTCTACCACAAGACACAAAAATCTGTATGTAGAAGCTGCAGTAATTCAGTGTAAAACGACTTTTTCTTGGACTCTTCTCCCTTGCGCCATGCTGAAACCACTGATTCGGCGAATTCAATGACTGGATTTAGAGCGGCTCCCCGTAGAGGGACATCGCCTCCTTCTCTTTTTCCGCTTATGCACCCCCGCACGAATGAGACTGCAGGGGAAACATATGCGAGCTCCGAGATCTGAGGCCATAGCATCCCTATCCTGTTTCAAGCCTTCACTATCACAAGCCGCTGCTCGGATTGTCGAGTGCCGACACAAGCCACTCTGCAATTTGAGCGACTTCTTGTGGTCGGTGAGGGCTCGGAACGGGTCCTTGTGAAATCGCTTCACACTGGAGACCAAGAATTACCGTGATATAATAGACCCTTTTCAAAAGTCCACCAAAGAAGATTAAGGCCACCACAATTTGGGCACCAATTTCCATGCGAAGAGTGTGCTTGGATCACAGTCCACACCAAGCGTTGATGCAGCACTCGCAGCACCAGCGCCGAATGTTGATGCGGAACTCGTGTTTGATGCATGCCCAAAATATGACAGCCTCACATAATTGACGCAGCAGTTACTGGAGTACGCAAATTTTTTAAAAGTGTCTATTGTAGCAATATAACGATGTTGAAAGTGGAATGCCTGACCATGAGAGGCCGCAAGGGCAGACCTGTTTGAGCAGCTGCCTGAGCTCGCGCTGTCCTTGGAGTCCCCTGAGGCCTGGGGTGTTGGGGCTGGACACGTTGATGACCAGGTAGTCCGCCAGCTCCCCGAACTTGAGAACCCCCTGTGCATAGTCGTCTGCCGCACTGGCGCTCTCTTTGTTCTTGCCCAGGTTCACGCCCACCGGCCGCTTCCAGCCGTGCCTTCCGGCTTCCAAGGAGGACAGCACCTGGTCGTGCCCCACACTGTTGAAGCCATACCTGGGGCACACAAAGGGCACCGAGACATCTCTTCGCAGTCAGGCCAACTTTGTTGCAAACATTCGGAGATATTCAAACTACTGCTAATATGGCTGAATATTTTGCAGGTTACCAAAGCTATTCGGCTAGCACTAATGGCATCAGTCTATGACAGGTGTTCATAGGAAACTTGTGTTTAAAGGCCCGTTCACACACATACGCTTGACTCCGACCGACTGAGACAAGACCGGTTTTTTAGCCTTTTGTGACGGCTTACGACCAGCTGCATTGCTGCGCTTCCGGTCGTAAGCCGTTCTAAGAGGCTTAAAAAGCGGTCTTGTCTCAGTCAAACGGAGTCAAACGCAAGTGTGTGAACGGGCCCTAAATCTTTCCTGACCGCGCACATAGGTCATAGATCACCAGTGATTGATGGCCAATTTATTTTGATATGACTAAGGCCTTTGACAAGGTTGACCACCAGATACTTTTGCTTAGACTAAAAGACTACAGACTATGCCCACTGTATTGTGCTTGGTTTTAAAGTTTCCTTGAAGGTCGTCGAAATCGGGTTAGATCTTTTAACTGTTTTTCTGAATCATATGCATCTTTATCTGGAGTTCTGCAGGGTTCTAACCTGGGACCCGCTTCTGTTTTTAGTGTTTATTAACGATTTACCGTCCTGGATTAAAAACTCAAACGTGCTCATGTTCGCTGACGACTTAAACTGGATCCGCAAAGTTGAAAATATTAGTGATTGCATATATATTCAATATGATATCCGCTCTCTTGAACAATGGTGCTTGAGAAATAGACTTCTACTGAACCCCAAAAAGTCAGTAGTGATGTCCCTTACTAGGAAGAAAGACAGCATAATGTATGACCACACCCTTTTTGAAGCACAAGCGCAGCGAGTGTCACATGCGCGTGACCTTGGTGTGATTGTAGACTCGAGATTAGATTTTCGTTTACATGTTTCTCGTATTGTTAGTCATAGTCTACGCTGCCTTGGCACCATTTCGAGGTTGACAAGAAAATTTTGTTTTCCTGAGTGTCTGTTAACCTTGTACTGTGCACTTGTTAGATTGCGCCTTGAGTTTTCGTCTGTAATATGGAACTCTATTGAGATGTCACACAGCAATTTAATTGAAAATGTTCAGGGTAGATTTATACAAACTTTATATGATAGACATTGGTCGCCGCCGCTTTTACGGCTACAACTTTCTTTTAATGGACATCAACCTTTGAACTCTGCATGATAGAAGAATTGCTAGAGATATTTCCTTTTTACATCAGGTTGTGCATGGTGCTACTGACTGTTCAGAGTTCTTGATGGCCTTGAGATTCTGTGTGCCCTCTGGGCGGTCATCCAGCTGCCGAGACACTTTTTATCCTAACATGCGATCAATCTGTCCGATGACAAGATTGCAACAAACCTATAATGCCTTTTTTTTAGGTGATGACATTTTTGTTTGATTTTATTTCTTGAGAAACATGCATTTATATTCTGTATTCACTCATTGGACAGAGCACTGCTGCCCAGGCCACTTGGCTGTTGGCCGGCACTTAATAAAATTATCTATTTATCAACTATCTATGGTTTTTAAGTGCTGTCAATAAATTAAATTCAGTGCGGAGATTTATGTTCCACAATCCCGTGGATAGCCAAAGGATGCTAGTTTCGGGTTTAAGGCACGTTCAAGCTTTATCACAAGGGGGTGGGCTGCCAAAAATAGTCCTGGGAACGGAAGTTGCACTTGTTTAACATGGCTAGCTGCTTGCATCCGTCTTCGTAACAAAGATGGCATTATTTACATAATTCAACTCTTTTGTGGCACATTTCTTAGACCTCAAGAGCTCTGCAGACACTTTCAATATTATTATAGGTGTCGCTTAACAGATGGTTGTCGGTAAGCATCACTATAATTTCCAGGGCTGTCCTGAACCGGTCTGCACGTTTCATGTTCCAAAAAAGGCGCACAAAAATTCTAAAAATGAGGGAACTGCAATCGAGGCTATCCAGGAAGTGGAACCAAGGAAGAACACAAAGAAAGCATTCTGCTGGAGATGTGAGGTGTACTATCGGTGCTTCACCCAGTATAAGCATTACTTCGTTGAAAAGCACTTGTGTTATGGAGGCTAACTCTCCAACGAATCGAAAATAGACGTCAATTGGAGTACACTAACTTTCAGAAATAATAGCTGTGGGTGTGGGGCACGTTTTCTATATTCATAATTTTTCTTATTTGTCGTTTAATCTGGCAAAGCTGTAGAAGTTGCGGTGTTTATACGCCTTCCGCACATACATCACATTTTCAGAGAATAAAACTTTAAAATCTTTTTTTCCATTACACCAACCACTGTTTCTTTAAGAATAACAACTAATTGGCCACATTTGTACGTGTCATATTGCTCCATACACAAGTTAGTAAGAAAAATAAATGTGTTTGCACGGATCCTTTGAAAATTGCTACTTTTCCCATGGTCAGGAAAGAGTTAAAGCTTGGCTGGTCTATCTGTTCCAGAGTGATCATTTTGAATAATCAATGATTAAGAACTAATTGTTTATGGGCTCATCTGAACGTGTTTTAGACACTATAATCAGATACACCTCGTTCTGTCCTAATATTTTCAATTAGGTATTTATTAAAAGAAGAGACAAACAAAACAAAAGTAAAACATGGGAGTCAGCTTTCAATTATCAAAGCATAATTTATTACAGCAAATATTATGTCTGCATCAGGAAAAGTTAAGAAGCCAAGTGTACATTCCTGTATCCAGGCTTATGCGCAAAGGTACTAAAAAATTCCCTGTAACGCCGAGGTGGAGCGCAGCTCTTGAGGAGGAGGAGGGAAGGGTACTGAGGGGAGGGTATACCCCTCCTCCTCCCTCGTGATCCTGCCTGCTATTTTTCCTCCCCTCATCCTCCTCTTCCACCCCCTCCTTCTCCTTCACCTCCTCCTCATCCTTCAACATCCTCCTCTACCTCCCTCCTACTGCTGGGGGTCACGTGACCTGGGGGGGGGGGGGGGGGGGGGGGGTCACGTGACCTGGGGATGTCGTGTGACCTGTGGGGGGTGTTGCGTGACCTAGGGGTGTCGCGTGACCTGGGGGGGGGGGGGGGGGCACGAGACCTCACGGTTACGCCGACAGCGACGGCGACGCGGCTTAAGCCGGAAACGGGCGCCTAAGAGCTGCCCTCTAAAAATTACTTATAGATTGTAGTTTATTTCTGCATTAACAGATATTAGACACCTTGCCAAAACAGTTCAATGTGAATACTTCCCTTCTATATTCTTCTTCTTAAAATGCACACCTTATTTTTAAGTGAATTCCCGGAGAGTTGATGATGGAAACGATGAAACCGACACACACCTGTTGATTACAGCAAGGTCCTCAGCAAGCCTGAAGACACGGGGCTTGGGGTTCCCTGGCTGGGGCAGAGGAGTCACCGAGCCCACCTCCACAAAGCCAAAGCCCCAGCGCTCGAGGCCTCCCACACCTTCCCCGTGCTTGTCGAAACCGGCCGCCAATCCCACGGGGTTCTCGAAGCTCAGCCCAAACAGCTCCGTGCGCTGCCAAGGAGGTCTGCATGTCAGTAAATGCCACTCACCGAGTGCCCGAGAAAACTTTACAGTATTCTTTGGGTCCCACCAATGAGCTACACATGGCAGGGGGCATAAACTCCACCTCAAAGTTAACTCTACACATTGTTTACCGCCAAGCTCAGAGGGCAATGAAAGCTACGGGCTCGTCGGACCAATCAAATGCCTCCCTTTCAATGCTTGATTCCACTCTTTGCGCTTTAATATGCGCAGAGAGTGTGATCCCATGGTGCAAGATCAACAGTTGATCGACTCGACGAGCGCACAGTTCCCACCGACCTGTCAGCTTAGTAGTGAACAGAGAACAGCAGTGATAATAAGTGAAAATCTCAGATACGAGTTTATCTGAGATTTGAGTCAATTCTTTAAATTTTTCAATGAGAAAGTGAACATCTTTCATTGACAACAGCTGCTATTTGTCTTTATGTATTTCATTCTCTGCAAGATGCTGAGCTCTTAACGTTTATTTGTGATTATTCAAAACAAAAGACAAAATTTTCTCGGGTTTGCATCAAATGGAATGAAAATACCTAAGGGGCATCATGGTGAGACATCTTGGTACAGAGTAACCGGACTACCACAGGCGTTTCCCGTTTTATTGCATACAGAGTTCTTCTTCAGCCCATAGAAGAAACACTATAACCAATTTGAAGAGCCAACTGATTAAGTATTCAAACAACCTAAGTTTTTTTTAATTTTAGACAAAACCCCGAGACGGGAGGGAAGGAAGGACAACACAACACGAAGTCCCAACTTCGTGTTGTGTTGTCGTGCCTTCCCCCGTTTCGGGGTTTTGTCTAAAATATTAAACTTTCAGCAGCTTGTTTGCGCCCCAACTTTTTGTAAACCTATATTTGTGTGTGACAATTCAAACAGATCTATCAGAGGCTGGAGTGTTATCTGCATAAAGCAGTTGCCATTCCATAAGATATCTTCTATTGTAAGGTGGCATGTTGCTTTTGCATTTTCTGTCAGAATTTTCTACAAGTGCATTTTTATTAATGCTTCATAAGTGTGCAAAAAAATAAATAATGCAAGACAATGAATGATAACTCAACCGAAACTCTTTGTTCAGTTTTATGTTGTTAAAAAGCAAGTGAAAGATAAACCACAACAAGATATCATATTACCTTGGTTCGGATATGTGCAACGAGGTGGGCAAGTATGAGGGGTTTCGACAATCATAGCAATGGCTCATCTGACAAGTTAGAAAATCCTGTCTTCTCATATATGTTCCTAATTTCAAGGCTCAAAACATCTATACCGAAGAAGCCAGATGATGTTTGTCCCAGGCATCTAATATGCACAGGTTATGGCAGTATCAGCCGGCCTTGTGGCGTTCAGGCCAGGGTTGTGCAAAAGCCAAGCGGGCAGTGCTGGGTATGTTAGACTATTGCAAAAGTCTGAATGGATTGCCACATTCCTCATTATAATATGGCAGTCTGTTGATAAGCTTAGCAGGCCAGGTGCACACCATGCAGTATTTTACTCTTTTGAGCTAGAGCTAAATTGGGCCAGCTTATATTGCTGCAGACTAGACATATAGCATGTCCCCAAAAACTAAAACCCTAGTGTTTTTTTCACTGCACAAACAAACTATGCATCGCCGAATGCTCACTCTCAGTCCAAATGTCGTGCTAGCGGTCCAAGCTAGATGCCAAAGTTTCAGCACTAACTATTATCTTATGGCAATGTTAATTCTCCCGGCAGCCGGGAGGATAATTTCCACTAAGTTCTACTAGCAGACACCTCCAAGTGGCTGTCTCAAATCGTGTGACAATTGCTGGTAGAATACTGTTTTCTTATTCTCCCAGCATTTTGTGGAAACACAATTCATGGGCAACTTCTCGTGGATGTGTGCTTCATGGACACTTGTTTTGTGAACGCTCATTACACAAACTGCACGCTGTAGGGACATTTCGTCGAGCATGTATCACTGGGGCATGCATTATTAACCTACCCGGTTCACCCATTCACGCCGCTCCACAGCGACAGTCTGCAGCGGCTCATTACAAAAATGTTAACCCAGTGTGTGTTTGGGAGGGATTGGGGTGGGTGGAGGGGCATTTTGCACATAGGGATGAGCATCCAAGTACAGGTGTTCTGGGAGTTATTCACGGTACACACACCACTCCTGTTTTAAATGCTTGCTTTGTGTAGGAAGTGGAAGTGGGCTTCCTTTCGGGTTAATACAGTATTCGAGGTGCAGAACCCTTCAAGATGAAAACAGAACTATAAGGTAGAGCGATTAAGGCGCACTCACCAGCACCGGGGGATCGGGTTTTCTCTGGCCACGGACTAGCTGCCAGCGGGCAGCCAGAATGGCCATCCGGTGGGCGCTCTCGGGGCTCATAATTCGGTGTACGAAGGGCATAGCCACGTCCCGGAAGAAGTCCGGGTTGCCCGAAGCCGCTGCAACGCCCAGGAAACCGACGGCCGCTCCACCAACGACCGCAGCCATCGACTTCAGCTTGTACTGGAAGCACAGCGGTGTCACGCGGCCGCGGGACACCCGAAATTAAACAGAAGTCTGTCGTTAAGTTGTGCGTCAACGGATATTCGTGAGATGTGGGATTAGGGTGGCGATGCGGGCTAGTTGGTTCATGCTTAGTAGGTTCGACACAGCGCAAAAGAAACATAACAAAATAAAATGTTTAATTTTTTTCAACGGCGGCATTACTTATTTTTCGTTAAGTTTTTAGGGAGAACGGCGAACCCTCCGCCTTCGTCCGACTAAAAACGACACCACATGCTTCACTGAGCCCTCCGTGGGGGCCGGAAACCTATGTGTTGCGCATCTATGTGTACTGCACCAAGCGCTCGTCCTGTGTACATATTTATTTTTTTTTTAGTTCGTCTTCGTTTTTTGTGCGCTGTGTCGCATCTACTGAGATGTGGGAATCCGGAGAATTTCCCGCAATCATCGACTTTCGACCATAACGCGTGTTTGAGGCAATCAACCGCTTCCTGGCTACCACTTACCGCTAGCCGACTTTGAGACATCGTGCTCAATCAATATTGGCTCAACCAGTGGGGTCAACGCACTTCGGCTTGGTCAAGCTTACATAATTTTATAAGCGTAGAGTCAGTAAACACGTGCGAAGCGTGCGGGAAAACCGCACGTAAACATGAGCTTGGCTTGGATTGGACCCACTCAAATGCCGATTGCAATCCCCAGAAGAAACATCCAATCATTTTTACCTTTGTGATTGCTAATAATAACATAAATATAAAAATAATAATAATTTAATTATTTAAAAAAATACATTGGCACTATGTTAATTACTAAAGTAAAACAAAATACGATGTCAGAGGGGCCAGCAGTTTCGGTTTCGGTTCATGGTGGATCATACGTTCCCAAATTAAAAACAACAGAATATCGTGCTTTCGTTCTTTCATGGCTTACGAATCCTTATTCGAAAATGCCTGTCAGTCCAGTCTAGCCGGTTCGGCCGGTTTGGGTTTGGCTGGGTCAAGTTGAACCATTGGACCTCTAGAAGAAATCTAAGGTCGTACTAGTCCGAAGCGGTCGGAGCATCAGGGCGCGGGAGTACGTTGGAGGAGCAGCTTCCAGGCGATCCGGTCTACGCGGAAGGTTCATAAAGGTAATGAATAAGATACGCAATATCCATTGCCTACATGTTCACTGCACCAAGGTGCGTTTTGTGGAAGATGGAAACTAGTGCAGTTATATTCAGACATGAATCAAATGGCTCACAATGCAGCTTCAAGTTTATTATATTGCTCAGGTATTCACTAGATATGGATATCAGTCGTAATATTATTGTCCAAGCATAAAATCGACTTTTGTGTGCTGGTCTCTACAAAACAATGATATAATTTACATTCTTAGACCTTCTGTGTCTTGCAAAATGGAAAACATTTGGGCCACATTTTCATAACATTTTTATTAACATTATTGAAATTCTTTACATAACACAGTTATTCATTGCACCCAATGCTGAGAATTCTTCAATCCTTCCCGGCCTTTACATTTGCAGTGGTCCTGTTGCCCAAATTTATAATTGTGGACCTCCTGTTAAGCACTTCGGGACCTGGCGACGATCGCTCTAAGTAAGCTGGCCTCTCTTGCCTGCCAGCTGTGAGGCACGACAGTTCAAATATACAGCACCACACCATTATTGTACAACACTGGGCAACACAGTCATTCGAGAAGGCTCGATCAAGATCACACTCGAGAAACACCAGCAACGCTTCTGAAGCGTTGAGTGTCGACCAACATGGGCAATGTCTCCAAGAGATCAAGTTGCTCGACTCTGGCAAAACCACCATCTTCCTCGCAGGTATCGCAGATGCTGTGCCGACATGGAACAGCTGGTAACAGTTCTATTCTGCCATTAGCTGCTAACAATGCTTCTATTGTTACGGACGACGTTTGGCTATCCATTCGGCAGACGATAGGGATTCTATGGGTGCAGACGATGCCCGGGTGCTTCATCGGTAGGTAATGTCCGACTGGCACCCTTGGGAGGTAATGCTTCTACGGCCGCAGATGACGTTGGACCGTGCCCTTGGCGGGCATCTGTCGGGTGGATGGCTTCCTTCAAGAGCTAGGACCTTACAGATCTGAAAGCAGCAGCAAGAGATACAGTCAAAATGCTTATTCAGATTTCGGACAGTTGTGGAAGTCAACATGAGTAGAGCTTGTGACAATTAACGACCAACAAAGTATTATGAACCATGTCACATTTGCAGTTACATTAGCCCCTTAACCGTCTTAGTTTAGTGTAATTTCTGAGCCTCAACTGCTTAATTATTGTCTTTAAAATTGCATTTGCTGCCTTCAAAATCAAGTTTCTAGCCACAAACAAAATGGGAGAAATCAAAAATAAATTCGGTGCTGCCATTTGTTGGCAGAGCTTCAAACTAAGCCATGAGCGAGCCTGATTCGTCCAAAAAGGTTGAGTGCGCGAATTGGGGAAAGCAGACGAGCTATACTCGTCCTGAACGGTTTGCGGACAGCTCCACATTGACAAGCTAGGCTCGTCCAAAACGGCTAAGGGGCAGGGATGGGCAGTATTTCAAATACAAGTATTTAAAATACGTATTTCAAATACTTCGTGTATTTTGCATTTGTATTTAATTACAAATTAAATAATGTATTTTATGTGTGTATTTAAATACGAAAACGTGGGTATTTCAAATACAATTGTAATTAAATACAATTTTTTGGGCGAAAATACATCCCTCAAATTTATTGTCACTGTCCAGAGCAGGAAGAAAACTACGTTCTGCACCGAATGCAGTGTCTCTCAATCAAGCACAAGCGTTTAGTGACTTTGTGATTACGGTGCTAGTCCAGGGCAAGAATAGTGATGAAATCGTAGTTCACAGGCAGACTGGCTAAATAAGTGCCTGTGACAACTTGTGATGCTTTCCAGCCTGATTTCCATCCATTTTTTGCCTGGAACATTCTAAATGCGCGGATCGTCCAGATTTTCGTAACTGGTGCGAGTTGCAACAATAAGAAATTCTCTAGCTAGTGCTATGCGTCTTGGTCGTTTCGGTCCTTTGTTGGTCTATACCAAAATGTAATCGACAAAGAAGCTGCTTGAAACTCTGTACTTTTTCACCTATTACGTCCAAGCTGATTACAGTTTTTTGTGATTATATTTCTATTATGTTACTAGAGCCTCGCACACTAACTCCCGAGTGTGCGATGCAAAATTAAAATGAGATACTCAGAAACCCGTTGCAGGTGCCCTGAAGTCGCTGACGCAAATTTTGAGGAATGTATTTGGAAAAGTATTTGGAGGAGACCAAATACATTTGGTTGTATTTGTATCTTGTACTTAAATGCTTTTTTGGAAATGTAATTAGATTTGTAATTAAATACATTTTTGACGAAGTATTTTGTATTTGTATTTCGATACATATTTGCATGTATTTTGCCCATCCCTGCTAAGGGGTAAAGAAGTAACCTCAAATGATTTGCGAATAGGGTTTGCTATTTGATTCAATATGCAGCACACTTTTACCGTTCAAATGTATTTGAGCTCTTAGAATATTTGAAAATTATGAATAAAGTCTTCAGAATGCTCCGATTTCTCGCATCAAGCTCACAGCTTCGCACTAAGCTTCACTGCTTTGCACCTGAGTGCTAGGAGAAACAGCTGACATAGCAGAGCATCTCGGTTGGCTCGATGCTCAAAGGAAAGTGCAAGGAAAGAAAACTTCAAGTTATATTCAAATAAATAAGCTAGTCATTGCCTTGCTTGCCATATTAACATCATGTTTCATCCAACTCATTTTAATGGGGCCTCTTTCTTTCTCAACAGAAATATGTGAAATGCTTCCCACGTAATAAAATAATTCCTTTCCATAGAAGCACTTTCTAGAAAAGGTTTCTAGCCACAATACCTATCCACACTAAATTATCATTAAATGTAAAATATTTGTATTTGGAAATATTTGGGGACTCTGCAGTCAAATTTTCATAATCATTTTCGATTTGTAGTAAAAAAATGTGATTTTTGCACACCTCTACAATTGTGTCTCAAATTTAAATCACTGCAAAACCCTCAACGTTCATGAGCATTTTTTGTTCTAGCTATTTTTGCAAATTGGAAAATGTTCCAACTTTAAGGGCATGCAAATATTTTTATTGCCTACAAATGTGGATCTTCCAGCTTGCAGAATTCGAAAAATGTAATGATTGCAAATGTGACCTGTCTGCCTACGACAGGAAACTCTTGGGTCATAATACTATCAGTGGTGTACACGGGGGGGGGGGGGGGGGGTAAGTAGGGTGAAGTGGAGGCAATGGGGCCGTGCCCCCCCCCCCAAAAATTTGCAGGCTAGAGGGGGGGGGGGGTTGGAAAAGGTCAATGCTTAGATGAACCCTCCCAAACAAAAGAATAACAAAAGGAGCAGACGACGCTTAGCCCTATTCTTGATACTGTGAGGAAGTAATGGAACCTTTACCAGCTTTCTTTTTTTTCCTTCGGATGTTTTCTATGTTTATTACCTCTGAGCCTCGTCCTTCTGCCGCTCATGGTTATACTCTGTTTCACCTTAAGATGTACCGCAGGAAAGGCTACAAGCGCGAGCTCCTTGCTCTAGGACACATATCGGCGGCACAAGCTCTCGTGCGTCAAAAGCAGCTGCCAACGCTAAGAGCTCGCGCTTCTAGCCTTTTCTGCGGTACAACATAAGGTGAAACGGAGTATAGTAGAAAGGTCTCATTATATTAGAGAAAGGGACAAATGCAGCAACAAACAAGTGACACGAAATGAAGTTTCTACCGAAAGCAAACACCCTCTTATCCTTCTCCTTTCTCTTTCAACATTCTGTGCCGCTGCTGTCAAGTTATCTCAGTGGTTCATTGGAGTTCAGTGTGCACGCGGCTCTCTTCCTTCTTTGTTTCTCTTTCTTCTTTTCTTTCAACAATCCACAGCTACATAAGAAACACCAACTGGTGTCATCATATCGCCCTGGTCAAGTTCAATCACAGTGCCTCGCTGTTTGATACTTGAGGCTGAGTCGTTACGCCTTCATTTTGCAACTCTAGCTGGCTATCTAGGTCACCTCTCTCCTGCGTAGGGCGGTGGGCACAATACACTGATTTTGTTTGTTGAGTGTGTATTCGTACTGCCGGTGCCGGGACGACATGCGTCCATCTTTTGACACTGTGACCCTCAGTCTTTGTAAAAGTAACCTTAGACTAGAAGGTGGTCCGAGTCAATAAAGAGATCACCGTGTCAACTGTCACTGAAACAAGCAAGACAGACACACATAGCGTTAAAAGAGCAAGTTCTTTGTTGTAATCAACTGCGTGTTGTTTCTTTATTCGAGGCGGTTAGTTTCACAATTAAGGCACAGTCCTGCTTTCTCCATACCTCTATGGGCAGGGTTAAAGTGTTAGCCTGCAAAGTGTTAGCACCACAATAGTCCCTCTCAGAAATTGGCCTCCTCCCGAATTCTGCCGACCGTCCTGGCCATGAATACGCCACTGAAGCTTCAGTTGTGAACCGTCACTGCGAAATGTGCAGACGGCTCGAATATTTCCACGCAGAAGTTGTGTATCCTTGTGTCTACAGATCTGTACGATCTCAAGAAGCGCATATATTAGACGACATTGAAAGCCTTGGCCGTAATATGGCAATGAAAAGATGGGTTGCTGTTGAGGAGGAAAAGCCACTGGAAATCTCTAGAAGTGTCGGGACTGCAGCAGTAGAGAATCTTCGAGGAACCACCCAGAAACCCGAGAAATGTGGTAGGCGCTTATTTGTATATACCATATTTACTCGCATAATGAATGCACCACCCACAACAGGTACCAACATTTGGACTTTTTTTTTCCCCCTCGCGTAATGAACGCACCTCCAATTTTCGGCTCTGCGAGTCTCAAATTCCGTCCAATTTAGCTAGGCAACAAGCCGATTTTCTTTTGCCTCCAAGCGGTCAGGTCAAGTCAAGCCAAGCCAAGCCACTCTCGTAATGGCTGCAAGTGCATAGTTTCAGAGTTGCGGAAGTGATCAACCGTGAAACCGAGCGGCGTGCACACTTGACGAAGCTTGGGTCGAAGAATTGCCCAGCCCTGGACATTTTGGAATTGCCAGCCCTGGACATTCTTTGCCTATTCGATGCAATGATGTCAAAAAACACGCCATCGTCTGTGGTCCGCTTTTGGACAGTGAAATCGTGAAAGTGGTTAGGCTTAAGAACAGTCGTGTTGCTCACCATGCTGCATGAGTTTTGTAGGGCGCTTTCCTTCGACAAAAGGCACGCCGAAAGCGTCCAAAAAAGGTTCGCAATTTATAAAGCATGGCTACTGTGGCGCGCCCCCGACCAGCCATGGGTGCACCTCCATCAGTGGAGACGTGCCACAGTACCTTGCCATGTCATACTGGCACCTAATGTGACACTTGCTCGAAGAACTTTTACTCCGCATAATGAACGCCCCCCCCCCCCCCCCTCCCTCTTCAAATATGTGTCAATTTTTAGGAAAAAAAGTGCAGTCATTTGTGAGTAGATACAATATATTCTAAAAATGAAAATGACTTCCCTGTTATGAATACCCGAGTGCATGTTGTTCATTTATCATTTGAAAATCAGTGTGAAAATGTTAGTTTAATAAATCAAATATTAAAAAAAAAAAAAAATTTTTTTTGGTTGCAGGGGAGGGGGGGGGGGGCGTCTTATATTTTACTTTGTGTTCCCCCCCCTTCGAAAGGTAGACCTGCGTACGCCACTGCGTCACATGACCTGCCATGTCACACAATGACGTAATTTGAAACCATGACATCACAGAGGACCTATAAATGCTACGTATTTAAAGCGTCCTTCGGATACACTAAAGAAGCAGGCTTTTTTTTTTTTCTACAAGGAGCAAAAGTTACATTGCCAATTACATAGGCCAAGGACCGGAAGCAGCAAAAGTCATACGAGTTGTGGTTTTCTAGCAGCCAATGAGAGTACACGTCATAATGCAACTGAGCAGTTGGCACAAAGGTTGACTTTGTCTCCCTGTGGCGCCAAGTGTCCGGCAGTATGTTCAATATCAGAAATCAACATAGTAGCCCCACCTCTCACCATGACAACAGTTCAATTCGGCAGTCAGCCGAACCACCTGGCATCTCCGACCCCAAAACACCCACGCACTGCCATTTATGGCCTACTGAGCCATTAGAAAAGTAAATAAGCTACGCTTCGAGTAACAAAACATCAGCCATCTCATTATCGTTTCCAGTTTTCCGAAGCTTTCTACTAACTGCGTTTCCATTTTCCAGAAATGCTAACACAATCCGCGACATAGCGATACAACATTTATTGAACTTCCTGACACTGCACCTAAAGCTCAAAAAGTTTCATCTTTGAATCCTGACCGTCGCCAATTGCGCCTCACCTGCACAATGCCACGAAACAAAAATGCCGACAAGACGGTCGAAGAATAAAGTGTCAATACTCCGAAGCACGGCTCATCTATAGTGGCTCCGAAGACCACTGTTGTGGCAGTGCACGGAACTTTTGACAAAGTCTCACCGGAGATTATGGGACGACACACGAGACCGGATGAGGGGGTGGGGCTGCGAGGTGTCACGAGTGCGGTCCCCTGTGTGGCGTCTCTGGGGGTGTCAGCTGAAGGTCGAGCACCAGGGGCGCCAGGTCGCTCACCGCACCCCACCAGTGCCAGCCGCAGGGGATCAACGGGTGGCGCAGACCGCATTCCACGGGACGTACTCTACCTGCGTTCGTAGTCACGGTGCAGAAACGCGTCTCAAACAAGGACACGGAGAGCGTTCATCCCACAAGGAGAATCCTGGAAATGCCTTCTCCGAGCAAAGCTGGGCTTAGAGGCCGATGAGCAGTGAGAAGGGAGGAAACTCTGCCTCGATTCCCATTCGAAAAAGAGGGATATCCTCCTCCTTTCTGCGGGGAGAAGCTCGGAGCCAAGACCTCCTAGATATCGAAGCCGTAGTGCCGATAGAGATGTTGTCATCAGCGAAGGCCAATGTTGGGCACAGATTGGACACGATTGTTTCAACGTTCGGCTCAAACTTGGCTCGGAGACGAGTGCAGACGCAGCACTCGTTTCCAATCCGTGTCCAGCTCATGATGCAAAAATGTCAGCACTACGGCCTTGTCTTCTAGGCGGTGTTGCCAGAAGCCCACTCCCGTGGGGAGAGGAGGAGAAAATAGTGAGGGGGGGGACTGGAGAGAACGAAACTGGAAACCGGTTTTCTGCCCTGCAGAAGACGATTCTGTACGTTGGCCTTTAAGGAGACAACCAGACGCAGGAGGACAACTCACCCCAGACAAGGGATAATTCATTACAGGTGGTGGAACACTGAATGTGCAATTTGCAAGCACTCGGAGAAATTATAAACAACTGTTGCCTAGACCTCCCTTGCAGTCTGTCAGCTCAAATTCACCACATTAAAAACATCACGATGTTAAAAAATAATTGCTCCTAACAAATAAACAAAAAAGTCATTAACAATAAAATATAGCCATAATTAAGACCACTGAGCAAGCAGACACTCATGCACTACCGTATGTCTGGGTTCATTATGAGGCAAATTTGTTGAAATGCAACTTCTTGAAATATTTCGTGGAACTGGATCTCGCAAATTTGGGATTGAACCTAGCATTCCTGAATCTTACAGACTCCCTATATTGTGGGGTGACAATTAGCGTGATAAATTTTTTATGAATATTTGTAATTTACTAAAATTACTACTGGGTGATATTCTGAGTTTCTACAAGTTAATATCTCCTTGCAAATTCAAAATTGCTCAAAGTTCATGCATGAAAAAATTACAAAATTGTCAGAAATTCAAAGGATGGAAGAAGTCATCTCTCAAAGACATCAGAAAGCATTTTAATTGCTACAAAGAACAAAAACTTGAAATTCCAACAAAGGCATAATGTCGCTGGAAGTTCCTTGTTGCAGTCAACGGAAACATACAACCAGGTGTCTAGCGAAAATATTTAGTGTTCTTTTTCCCTGCAGCAATAAACTATACATTGTCGGATGCTTAGTTTCCACCCAAATGTATCGCTAGAGGTTCGGACCAGGGGTGAAAGCTTCAGAGCTTTCTGTTAAGTAATTCAGAAGTCATACGCTCCGTGCGGGAACTATAGGGGGCGCTTTGAACAACGTGCGTACGCCGCTAGCGGAGGAGCTGGCGTTCGACAGTGAGGCGCATTCAGCAGCCTGCGGCGCCTTTTCGCATGCGAAGCTGTGGCGGCGGAAGCGCGCACGGACGAAACTTTAGCTTTTTGAGCCGATACGTTGAGGGTGATGTTGCACGAGTGCTGGGGCAGAAGGGAATTAAGCTGTTCTCCACTTCTTATATACTGAGTCTGAGTCGTTATTACGGGTAATCTATCTAGTTGCGGTCGAAAGAGGAGTTGGAGCAGTTTTCCGAAAAGCGAGACGGCCGCCACCATAATTGCTCTGAGTGGGAAATTTATTTCGCTTGTTGCTGTAAACGTAGGACTGCTGGAACGATAATATTTGGAGGCAAATGAGATGTTCACTAACTTTGTGCACGAAGTGTGCCAAGTTTCATTAAGACAGCAGGTGTGAAAGTTATGTTTCTAATGAATAAAAAAATAAAGCTGCACGGGATATCCAATATTGGACCCAAAATGGTATGTTATAGCGAGCTGTGCAAAGTGCAGATTTGGGCACACAGGCGCTTAGAATTGACAGTAACATGACATAGCATACCAAAAAAGAGGTGGCATAGGGAAACCAGGTGGAAATTTGGTTTGGGCGGCCTAACTCAATGGGAACCGGTTTTGACCACGAAAGGGATGTCAAGAGAATACCACTGGTCGTTCGTGGTAGGTGGAGACTTTACAGGCAGGAAGGGACTAGTGAACTGCACTTCCAATTAAAACAATTTTATGAAAGGTGGTTCCAAAGCCGAGAAAACAAAGTTGTCGGCCAACACATGGTTTGGCCATCAAGGGCTTTTGCGGTCAGCTGTTGTGTAATAACCTGTTGTGCGAGGTGCTGATTTTCGGCGCACAGGTACTTTGACTTAACTCGACACAACACTTTTTATACCAAAAAGAGTTGGCATAGCGAAACCAGGTGGAAATTTAGTTTGGGCGGCGTAACTAAATGGGAACTGGTTTTGACCGTCAAAGGCTGTCAAGATAATACCACTCATCGTGGGAGGTGCACACTTTACAGGTAGGAAGGGACCAGTGGACGGTACTTCCAGTTCGAACCACTTTGCGATAGGTGGCTCTAAAGCGGAGAAGAAAAGAAGTGTTGTCTACAGAACTCGGGGTGTCAGCGTTTCCACATTCAAAAGGAGGCTGATCAAGAAAGAAAGCACACCACATAAACTTCCATACTCAAATGTCTATTCTCCAGTGATTCCGAGTTTCATTGTTGTTTTCTTTAGATTCATATGTCATTTTTTATTACCGCTCAAATCTTTCTTCATGAAGTACAGATTGCGTGCCATACTTGTCCTGAAATATCATCGACACGTACGATGGGGACGAAACTTCTTTGGAGGGCATTCCTTCAACGAAATTGGCAATGCATACCGCGAGTGTGGGATGGCATTTCAGATCGTCCCATCGGCACTAACACATGTAGGCGTTACTGGTACGAAAACAAACGCAGAGCGCAAAGCGGCAGTGTAGAATATGTCAGCCGTGCCGACAGAGTGGCAGTCATGATCGGGAGACCAAATTTCTCACGTCGTATGGCATGGGTCCATCGTTGTCGCTGTCCCACAAAACATCGGCGAGGTGAAAAACTGTGAAACTTTGTCCCCACGAGATATGACGCATCACTATTGAAGCGCTTAATGACGCAGCACAGGCAGCACTTCATGCTGTGGACCCAGCGCAACCGCACCGCTCCGACTTCAATGCGTACCAACGTCACGGCGTGGTTTCGGTTTCATTTTCTCTGGGGCTCTCACTGCCTACCTTCGGTAACGGCCGTGCGGCGGCGCGCCAGTCGCGTCGCACGGAGTGTATAAGAGATTCAATGAGAAAATAAGGCCTGTTCCCAGCAGATAACGCCATCAATCTCCACATGATCGTGGGCTGCATTTCCTCATTAAAATTTTCTCAGAATCGCTTATAACTTTTAAATGGGATAAAGGCAAGCTTTGAAACTTTGGAATCTGGTCAGGGCCACTAGCACTACATTCGGGTTGAGACTGAGCCAGTAGCAGTGTTGCCAGGTCTACTGATTTATCAGTAGATCTACTGATTCTGTTCCGGGTCTACTGATTCACTGAAAAACAAGAAAATCTACTGACTTTTTTTTTAGTAAACATATTAAAAATTTATTATATGGCCCCTTCAGTTCCCAGTGCCGCCCATCAAAGGAAACTCATAATGTCCCAGAATTAAAAACGAAGCACTGGCTAGATGGCCCAGAAGCCCGTCCTATTCGAGTGACATAGTCGTATATTCATCTATCTATTCACCCAGAGCAGGTTCGGCAGGTTCGACGGTGACATCCGGGCCAGAGCCATATATGGAGAGAGTTTGGCTAGTCTAAGATCTCGCCGTAACGTCCCTCTCCCGAGTGAGCCAATCAGCCCGCGGCGCAGAGCGAGAGGTGTTTGCGCATGCGCCTGAACTCTCGGCTGCTCCTATACAATCTACTAGAATTGCTTCGAGTTGAGCGGAGAGAGCCGCAATTTTCATTCATTCGTTCGGCGGAATGCATGGGATCGACATCCAAATTTCAGTTATTTTCTTTTATTTGGCAGGCTGTGGCAAGAAAATGATATAATCCTATTCCTCGGTGGCTTAAAAAGCTAACGAATGAAGTTTCGCCACGTTTGAACGCAAACTTTGGGTCAGGCGAAAAAGAAATAAGCCCGTAGCAGACAACGCGTAGCCTCAACAGTGCTCCGGACCAACAGCGTTGCTTCAAAAACCTTCCACAGCCCAGTGAGGAAAGATGGCAGCATGCAGAGGACTTCCATTGGACATGTTCGCGCGCACTTGCCGGAGCGTCTTGTTTCGGTTTTGTTTCAATAATAGCGACAGGTGAACGTCGCACTGTCGCCTTCATCTGTGATCCCAAAAGTGCCTCAGTCTCGATTCTAAAGAATAATCCTCGAAACAGTCAATAATGACTAAAACAAAAACATTTATGGTGTCATTTTAATTTGTCCTTCATAAAAAGTTACTTGAGAACTGGTCTTGTTTTTTTCTTTCAATTTTATTTGTGTTTATTAATATGTTATTTGTTACTCTATACTATTTCTTTGAAGTGTGTATTAATGGAGATAGCAAAACATGGCAAAACACATATTTCGTGGAATCTACTGATTTTTGTGCAAATCTACTGACTTTTTGGGGATCAATCTGCTGACTTTTTTTTTCTCCATCTGGCAACACTGGCCCAGTAGTGATGCAGTTTATTTTTATGGAACAAAAAAAAAACTGTAAATTCTTTTTCCAGACACTCTGTTCTTTGCAGTTGACTAGAAAGCACCAGAGGCCACTAGTTAAAAAAAGTAGTAGTTTCACCTTCGAAATGTCGCCACCGCCACCCCAATGTCCCCGAGCATTTATGTCCAATGCGACCTCGGATGTCGAAGTCTTTCCGAGTTAATCCGAATCAACAAAATTTTACCAGCGAGTGCTTTTGTACAGGTATTTTTTTCCGGTCAACTCGGAAACATTGAAACCCACTCACAGACGAGCCTCACCTGTGCGTTTGTGGAGCTTCTCGGAGCACCACACCTGAGTGCTGTCATGGGGCTTGGGGGGCCAAAGCAGCTTGAGCCCCATTGCCGACAGGGTCCGCACAGCTGTGGACAAACCGTCGGGGCATTGAACCATCATAAAAAAAGCAGAGCCTACCTTATTCTATGACACAAAGAGCAGACACAAATTGCCACTGTATAGCAGAGCCTCTCAGAGCCTTTCTATCGATACAAATCCTGCCGTAGTCGAGAGTATGTTGTGCAGATTTCAACAATTCAACATGACTAAAGGTGCTGTCGTTCCTCGAGAGATGCAACCGTTGCTCATGTTGCTTTTAAAAAAAGGCTAGACTGCTGCACAGCGTTTCCCTCTACAAGATCAGAGAATCGATTTCCATTTCCACTACCAGTCGTAATATTACTTCAGGGACAAAAGGCCACTTTGTACATGGAAACGAGAGAGACCCTGGAGGCCAGGTCCGCACACTGACCGTTCTCGGTGGGCGGGAGGTCGCCCATCAGCAGGACGTGCTCTTCTCCTGGAAAAAGAGAGGAGCAATGCCGAGGCTGAAAAAGAGTTGGTACCCTTTCCCCGCCATTCCCACCATGCATGGAAACCAGAAGCATACACATTAGTAAGCATGGACTTGCCAGATTTCGTTGACAAGTCTAGACACTCCAATCACTGCATCTTACATTTAAGATGGCCACACTTCCCACACTGTTTATGTACTTCCGGGTTCAAAATGTTATAATTTTGCAACTTTAATTTTAATCTGCAATTTTACAACTTTACTTTATCAACTTAACTGCAGTGCAACTTTACTAAATGACAAGCTTTAGTTTTTACCGCTTTATTTCCACAAATTGCACTTGCAACAACACACACAAAGTTTATTACCATGTTCGCACAATCCCAACGTGCACTTTTTTTCGCCACAATCGGTGCCCAAAATTACACGCACATTACAATTGAAACCAACAACTGAAATGCAAGAAAAATGCAATGCTTGGTATTAGATGGCTAGCCCCATCGCCATTGTGACCATTTGTTTGTGTGGAAGATGGTGCATGTGGACTGTGGAAGTTGGTGGTGGTCCCTGGCATCACCTTCCGAAACGAGGTGATGTGCCTGTCGTCGAACACTCGCAATTTCATTGAGACGAGGCAGTGAAAGGCCGGAAGGATGGCACTGGGGGCCCAGTCAAGCAGCCCCAATGAAGCAGTTTAGGGAGACCTGGGCTGGTCGAGCTTTGAGGCCAGAGAAACGGTGGCCAAAGCAGGCTACGAGAGACACCTGGCCGGAATGAACCACGCCAGATGGGCCAACAAGGTCTGGGAATATGCGATCTACAAGGACCATAACACAAGATGGAGAAAGAGAACAAGGGCACTCTCGTATCGTTATAACATCCTGGTCCAGTTGCTGGCAGAGCCGGGCGAGGAGCGAAAGGGAAATAGGGGGACAGACGACAAAGCGGTGATGAGGCTGGTGCAAGAGGAAGAGCAGCGATGCTGGAGAGACGGAACGGCCCGGAAATAATCTCTGTGGAGGTACAGCTTGCACAAAGCCAGCAACATGAAGGAGAACATTTATAACAACACAAGAAGAAACGGCCTGCTATTCCAGGCTCGGGCCAGAACTCTAGGAACGAGGACATGGAGAGCAAAATTTACCGAAGACCTGAAGACCCTCTGCGCCATCTGCGTGGCAAAGTCCAAGACAATCGACCACATCGTAATTGCCTGCCGCGGTCCAACACCGCAACCGGAAATGGATTCAATCGCAAGGGCCCTGGGTTTTACGATGGCAGTTGAGGTAGACAAGGGGGGTTCGCACCCGGCAGCGGATCGGCAGAAAATCAAAGCGGCCGAAAGGGTGATCGAAAGCACCAGGTACAAACTGGAAGGCTGGTGGGTGAAAAATAGGGAATAACCCGGCTAGAGCAAAGCACGGACTCACCCATTACAAAGGGAAAAGCCACAACACCCAATCCAATCCAATCTGATTCGGCATTTTTGTATCCGTATCACGCACATTCTCTTGTGTCTACGGACTCATGTCTGTCGTTTTAAGATGAAAAAACAAAAAAATTCCACTAGGAGGCTTTATTTACAGGAAAGGTCATCATGCTGGCGGAAAAAGATAACAACTGAGCAGCACTGTGTGGCCTCACAATCCCAGCCACCCGACGAGCTTGCAAGGTGTTTGAAAGATGACCCCACCAGAGGCGACGGTCACGCACTCGTATGTACAGTGCTAATCACACTTGTCTATAACGCGCGAGCGTGCGGCTTTCTCAGGGGAGCGCTAGACTGGTGGCATTCGCGGAAACTGAGCTAGTCACGTGGCACAACATGGAACGGCCCGCTCGAGGGGTGTCCTGCCCACTCTATCAGCTTGATAAGCGATAAAAGTAAAGTGCTTTATGATATATTTTTTTGTTGTTTTTTGATGACGACATCGTTGATACGCCTTCATGCTTTAGTGTGTTTTGTTGTTCGAGCAATGATGTTTGTAAAAAGCGTGCGAGCAGCCTTCCGCGTTCGCCGTCAGCTGATAGAGTGGGCAGGACACCCCTCGAGCGGGCCGTTCCATGTTGCGCCACGTGACTAGCTTAGTTTCCGCGAATGCCACCAGTCTAGCGCTCCCCAGAGAAAGCCGCACGCTCGCGCGTTATAGACAAGTGTGATTAGGACTGTACATGCGCAAGAAGTGCGGCACTTCAAACGCTTTGGACGAAAACAATATTATTACCTTTGTGGACAGCAAAGAACCATCAACAGACTCTGACAACGATGACTAGTGCAAGGCATTTAGTTTTGTCTCGGCATGCGTTTCATAAAATCTGTTTTATGAGTGTTCAAATTTCATTATTTTACCTGCGCGATGGAATCAGCAGCAATTTATTTTTTGATGATCTGGAAGCTAAATCTGTCTGAGCGTTAGAATTCAGGGTGCGTTAGAACCGTGCAAACATGCTATAGGTCAGTTTTAGTATTGAGCCAGAAATTATTCTCGTAAGTACTATTTTCTGTGCAAAGAACTCCTCTTGAAATTTTTCAAGAGTGATAAAAAATCTCTAAAAGCATGAAGTTAAAAAAAAAAAAAAAGAAGAAAAAAATTTTTTTGGAGGTGACATTTGCCTCGTGCACTCTGCAATCATGTGAACATGGCACACTTGTTTGGGGGCAAGAGGAACGTGTAGTACAAAAGTTCACCTGCGAGCTTGTGCCCAAGTACACTGACGAAGCTGGGGAAGACTTGTTCCATGTCGTGGGCCTTGAGGGAATGCAGCAGGATGCTCACCATCACAAACTCCAGCCCAGGAGCCTGCAGGCACCATGCCCCTTGCAATGACACTTTGAGCCATGCAATGTTGTTAACGGTTCTAGTGCATGAACAAGGCACTTCGTCTCCGCACAAAAGAGTGTGGTCATCCTCAGCATAGGCGTGCACAGCGGGAGGGGGACAAAGCATGCTATGGTCCCGTACCTAATGGCTCCAGAGGGGTGAAAATCAGTAAGGCCATATTTTTGTTGTATAATTAATTTTGACCCCTCTCAAGCCATTAATAAGGGAGGGAAGGGGGGGGGGGGGGGGGAGGGGCAGGTGCATAGCATGCTTGGCCCTCCTCACTGCACACACCTATAATCCTCAGTTATTTTCATATGCATACTATTTATGCATATGGAAAAAAGAAAAACAAGAACCTGTGAGTAATAATACTCAAAATAAAATTGCCCTTGATGGTTTGGGTCTTCTGTGGGGATCGTAGGAATTCAAATGGGAAAACGTTCCGGGACCTTGCAGGTCCTCCGGCACTCAAGCCAAATCCTCAATAACTTTGTTTTCATTCAACAGAACAAAAATGTCATGCGAAGAAGAAGTCTGAAACAGATACTTACGATGCGAGAAATATCTACTAAATAAATATCTCTCTTAATGGTTTGATACAAAATAACTAAAAAGGCAATACAGCTTGTCATACAATTAAAATTAAAAAAAAAAAAAAACTTTAGTCACCACCTTACAGCTTGTACTGCAAATACTGTCCATAAACCACGTGACCCCGATCGAGCGGTTCGGAACTCTCTGTAATAAAGGTTCCCACGAGGCTAATGCCAGGGCCTTGCGCACGACGCATCGTCTATTCGTGCTATAGAGAGCCTGTAATAGACAGAGTTTCCAACTGCTCGATCGGGGTCACTTGGTTTATGAACTGCGCTTGCAATATGAGCTGCAAGGATGAGGCGAAAGCATTGATCGTCTGCAAAAGTCTCCGCCTTTCCTCCCGCTTTCCTCCTCGCTGCGCGAAAATGTAGCGCATGAGCACTTGCGACCAATCTCCGCACGAGGCGTCCGCCATTAAATTGAAAATGCTCCCCATGGTTAGATACAAGCCCTCTTTTTGATCAGCATTCTATAGCCTCCCAATGTAGGCAACGCCGTCTTGCGGCACACACGGGCGTTAGAAGAGGAGGAGGAATTAATAAACACGACGATTTCGAGGAGCACTTCCGACAGGCATAGAATATATACAGGAGGAGTAGCCCATGGTCGTAGGAATTTTACAGCGGAACTGTTAAGAGCTAGTTTCCCCAGTATCATGTCCTAGACAAACAAAAGTCGACACAAAATTCCACACAGCTACCACCATCTATGAGCGATGGCGGCAGCCTTTCCACTCTGGTTTTTACCAGAGTGGAAAGACTGTCTTTTTTTAGGCATCGTCTTAGGAGACGTCCTTGAGGTCGTCCGAGAGGTTGTCCTCGAGGTCATCCTAGAAGTCATTCTTGAGGTCGACCTAAACGCCGTCCTCGAGGTTGTCCTAGAAGTCGTCCTTGAAATCGGTCAAGAAGTCGTCCTAGACATCGTCCTCTAGGCATCGTCCCAGACGTTGTAAAAATAACAGCTTCGCTGGTCCTCCATCTTCACGTAAAGTAAAAAGGCTTTACAATTTTTTTTTTTTGGTCTTTTTTGCATGATATTTTTATACCAATGAAAGAAAACAAAGTTATTGAGGCTTCTGGCCGGCCTGACAAAGGACCCGCCAGGTCGCAAAATGTTTTCCCGCTCGAACTCCTACAACTGCCACAAAAGGCACAACAACTGAGGGCAATACTATTCATTCAAAGCTAGACTGAAGAGAAGTGGGCTAAGATTTTACATACTTAAGAAAACTTCGACAGGAGGCTTAACAATGAGTTTTTTAAATTCAGTTAACTGGGTCGTCATCATTTCAACATTTGGGTTTTTTGAGGCTCAAGTTCATTACATGAATAGAAGGTGCACAGCTAGCTGCGTTATGAGCTGGCCTGACGGAGTTTTCAGGCCAGGGTACCGAGGGTCTTGTATGCCCTGGTCTGATTTCATATGATCTCAGGACACCACTGGAAGTGAGACTGGAGCAAATCCCCACGACATCAAGTATGGTTGTCGGCAGCATCGGTCCATGGCAGGCACTTATTTTTGCAACACGTCGGTGGTTAGCGTTGACACAATGTCATGGAAGTGGGTGCAATGTTTTCTTTTGTTTAGAATCAGTCGTCATTGATTTATTGAGCATCTGACAAAGCTTGGTAGTAACTTACTGTGGATGTGCAGCTGACCTAGTCAACTGATGCCACTTGGGCACAACATTGCGGCACTCAGTTCCAACCTAGTCATCAAAGGCTTGTCATCCCAGAGACACCTCATATGGCACTTTCTTCAGTCTGGGCGGTGCCCCTATAGATGAGCTTGTACCGCGATTCACTGTACGCAACGTGATATTTTTATTTCGTGCCTTACGTTACTGTGAATGGTTTACATGGCTAAACGGATGGAACCTTCGGGACCTCTTTTTTGCTAATTGAATTTTAAAGTTATACATTTTGGTAAGTGGAACAGAGGAGTACTCCTGGCGTTTCATAAAGACAGACTGGGTTTAACCAGATTCTGAAATCCTATCTGAAGTGCTAATGCATGTAAACCTAAGAACTACCCAAAAATTAGAAACTATATAAAGATTGGGCATTGACCGTCACGTTTTGGCAAGCCGCCTTCCACCGTCTTGTTTCACCAAGATTAAAGGGCTCAATAAAGCAAAACGTGAGAGGCCCCTGCTAAAATTCTCAGAAAAACAAGCACAACGATGCAACATAAAGCTTCAATCACTGTTTCTAAAGCCTTAACTATTTGCAAGTCGACTGTAACTACACAACTAAAATTAGGCCCCATGGCACTGCACCAGATATATTTGTTAGTAATCATATTTGATTCATTAGAACAGAAAAGCACACATCAGCAAAAGGGTTCCGGAGAACGTTCGAATGGCTTTCAGTCTTAGGTCTCACACTCTTGTAAGTGTTCCTACAGTAGCGTAAAAGAAAGTGACAAAATGCTTACAGTGGTCATTCAAGATGGTTGCTGTTTTTTTAATGTGGCAAGGTTTGGTTAGTCTGCAAAAGCTCTGCCCTTGGGTAGACTTATTACATTCCATCGGCACAGGTAGGATATCCGGATGCATTAGTGGGGAAACAACCATTCTGACGTTTACAATGGTACAGTGGCCATTATTCCCCGAGACACAGCTCTCGCATGCAACAAGAAACTTCAATGGCCTAAAATAGTCCGAAAAGCTGCACACCTTGAAGCGTGCCACGCAAGGACAAGGCCCCGCGAGTCCGTTGTTGCAGGAGTCGAGATCAACAGTGTAGCACTCCACCAGCTTGAGCCCCTTGCTGGTACTGAACAGGAAGCCTGAAAACTGTGCCACAAAGACAACAAAAGCCATCTAATCAGCAAAGGAACCAACAGAGAACACGAAGTAATGCCATCACTATATCAACAACATTTACAACAAAAAAATCTACATTTTGTCTTGTCTAAGATTATGCATTGCACAGCTTGCAGTGCCCTCTGCCCTGTTGCCCTGGAGTATGAACATAAGAGCCCACCAGTCCTACAGGTCCAGAGGTAGGCACTGGCGTGCATTGGTCCCACTGGTGGTCCCTGGGCTCCCAGGATGCCACCGGCTCCAGCTGTGGCTGGCGAAGCTCTCGCACCACCTGTGCATGCAGTGGGAGGCATCAGTTGTCATTATGTTGACACCAGTTGTCTGTCGTTAAATTAGACCAGTCGGTGTTAGCTATAGTTTTTGCCAAGACCAACCGAGCATGGAGGCAATAATATGTACACAACATACGAACTGGCTATAAGTTGGTTCCCAGTTTGAAAGAGTGCACTCTTAATTGCAGCAGTACAGTATACATTGGCTCTAGCCTGGTGGTAAGAGCCGAGCACATACGCACTACTGTGCTAGAAAAATAAAAGACGGACTGACCACATCTAGGGCCTCCTTTGAGCATATCTCCTGGCAGGCTATGATGGACACCCTGCAAAGTAAAAAATTCCCTACTATATTTTTTGCATTGGAAGAATATAAGAAGTGAATGCTAACACCTTAATTACCCTTCATATGTTAAGAAAAAAACAAGCACTGTGGTTTAGTTTTGACCTTTTCAAAGCATACTTACACACAAAAGTCTTCAATGATGTCCTGCAAGTTTTGCAATGGGGTTAAGCTCTTCTATAGAGCTTTTATTCTTGTAAATATTTAGAGCACAAAAATAGTTTTTCAATTTTAGGTAAGCAAAATCGCCACAAGGCACCAGAACCAAAATGCACTGTCAAAGAAAGCAAAGAAAACAGTGACATGCTATATTGCTGCGGTTCTCATTTGCCTTACACAAACATGTAATTTGGGAAGACAAGAAAGAATTGAGTCATGAGCAGAGCAGATATGTCTGATTCCTTTTTGTTTGTGAACTTTAGTTAGAGTAATTTTCTACAGCTTTTGGCACAAAAAAGTTGGCAGCACGATCCTATGGCAGATCACATTTCAACAATGTACAGGTGGCACTCATAAAAGTTTGGTACCTACTCCACCTATCTCAGAGCTTTCCTTATCTTAAACCTTTTCCTTAGTTTGACAAGAAGGCTGATGTGTATATGGCACCCGCAGTGGTAGCAGCACACACATTCCTCTCCTCATAAAGACAACATTGTATTATGTGACAGTATTCTATGAACACTGCTTATCTCTTAAAGTTTCCACCCCACCCCCTACCCTAATTACTGCAGAGTTGGACCATATCTCAGGGAACTTAGTGTCTGTAATGAGTGTTCCAAGCAAGGTGTCACGAGGAGGTGTCGCATGATAGAAGGCGGGGCAGCGCAAAAGAGGCGGCTGCTTGTGCTGACCCGTTCTCCAGGGCGGTGCGGCACACCACCTCGAGCACCCCGGGGTTGGAAGCTTTGTCTGTCGTGAGGCCCGCCAGGTTCCACAGCGCAACCACCAGGCAGCCGGGCGGCACCTCCTCCCCAGCCTGCAACCAATCGCACCACGCTCACAAACACAAGCGAGGGGAGAGGTGCTTGCTCCAATCAATCTATTGCTTGTTCGCATCTCCAGCCTAAATATAACATTCAAAATTAAAATAAAATAATGATGATGGGGCACTGACAAATACAAACAAAAAAGAAAGCACATGAGGGATATATAGAAAACAAAAGGGCAGAATCACTTCTCAAGGTACATCAGCTATATGGTCGCAAGTGACATTTGCTTGGTTGTGCCAAACATTTCAAAATGCAGCACCGCTGCCTTTTATGGTTTATTTCACATGATTTATTTGAATGCTGTGTCATAAAATTCGCAGTTGATTGAAAAATGTGTGTATTTCGTACAACCGTGCCAGAACCTTTGTTCATTCGCACCGGTCAAAAAACATCAAGGAGGCAATGTTTGAATTCATAACCTTTTATTTAACATCCTGATTGTTTCGTAGTTAACCCGCTCGTTATACATGAACCAAACAAAAAATCTCTAAACTCACGAAACCCGATTAAAAACAGGGCAGGAGCCAGATGCAAGGCGAGACCGCAACCATACGAAGACGCGCTTGCGCGATATGAAGGCACAAAAAGCGTACCGAATTTCTCAGTGTTACGTAGTGTATGCACTTACATTTGTTACGTGCAGGTAAGGCAGAGGATATCCAGCTCGCCTTTGTTGTAGATTCAAAGTTTTAGTGAGACGCGTACCGAGACGACATGCGAGCCCAGAACGCTCAAAACATTGCCGCCGGGCGTGTCACGTCCGAAAGCATCAACTGTCAAGCTAGTCCCACACATGCTGAATAAGACATTTCCACTGCCAAATAGGAACGAAACAACCGAAACCTCTTAGGCACGCAACAGATGAATTTGTCAAAGCGCCAACACTACATTGACAACACCATCAGAAACTAAACAGAACGAAACCACAAAACGGCTACCACTGCAATGGCCAACGCTGTTTGTGACGGCTGCACTGAAGGGGGACGTCAAAATAATAAAGCCACTATTTTGACGTTTTACGGAAGTCACATAACAGACGTCAAAATTAATTTTTGAGATATTGTGACAATGGATGTCGAAATAGTCACTGCCAAAAATTTAGAGGTTGCAACATTGATGTTTTCTACCTACATGTATGTAATTTCATCACGGTTGCGCACAAAGGACACTGCTGTAATAGTCCGTGAACATGGCGTCTGTGTTTGACATGCGTCTCAAGCAACGAGCCGTAATCGAATTTCTGGTGGCGGAGAAAAACACTAGAGAAAAAATGCATAACCGTTTGTGTGCTGTGTATGAAAGTTACCATATACAATCGATAAGAGCATGGTTGGATGCTGGGTAAAAAGACTTGAAGCTTCAAAAATGGAGAGATGGAGCTGCGTGATCGGTTGCAGTCGGAGCGACCTGCCATCACCACCAACCCAGGTATGTTGTAGCGTGCCAATGAATTTATTTACGCAAATTGGCACATAATGAACTAATAACTGGCCCCAAAGTTTTCAGTCAGCAAAGGAAGTCAATGCCAATTATCAACATTACCGGTGTGTGTGGCATAAGGGGAATCGAAGAGACATTTGTTTCTCCAGCATGACAAGGCCCGCCTTCACAAAAGTCTCAAAACCCAGGATGCAATTGCCAAATTTTGTTAGACTGTACTCTAACATCCCCCCTATAAGCCTGATTAGGCGCACCATCAAATTTTGATCTCTTCAGGTCAAGAAAGAATGCATTAAGCTCAACAAGGTATGAAAACAACAATAGCATAATTCGTGGAGTGAGAACATGGCTACATGAGCAGAAAACGCGCAGATACAGGAAAGGCATGTATGCCCTTGTTCCATGCTAGCATAAAGCCAAAAAACTGAGCAGAGGTTATGTAAAAAAAATAGCATGTATGCAAGAAGGTGCAGTAATATTTGGTGTAAATTCCGTATAGTACTTTGAATAAACAGTTTCTGAGAAACAAAATGCGGAGCATTACTTTCTGAGCAACCCTTGTACTATATGGCAAATAAAATCTGTTGCAAAAAGATGCAGTGGTGTCACAAGGCCCCACCTTGTGATGCCACTGCATCTTTATCAACATTTGGGAGGGGGGGGGGGGGGGGGGTGGAACACCTTGGGTGCAGTGCTCAGGGAGGTAGTGAAAGGAGGGGGGGGGGGGGGGTGTTGGCGGCGGGCCACTGCCTTGGGTGCCGCTAACCCTAGTGACGCCACTGCAAAGATATATAGATACTACATGACTCCATAAGGCTGCTGAAAAAAGTAGCCTTGTGAGCAGCGAACACTTTTTAAAGTCATTATTTTTCTAAAGGTGGCTAATTTTCCCCAGAGCAAATGATCAGAAAGATATCTTCAGATCATTCCACTTGTATCTCACAGCACTGATTTCAATTTACAGGAGCATAGCATCTCTGAGTTTGTCAAAGGAAAGTTCTCCCACAATAAAATGAAGTTTGATACTAAAGGGATGCTGGACTGAAATTTGGAGCTCACAAAAGAAGGCTAGAGTGATAAGTGGGATGCAGCAAAACCCAAAAATATCAATCATACAGCGATATTTCTAACAGTCTAACGACTGGCCGTATTTTTTTAAAAAAAAGTGTGCCACAGAACACGGCTGATGAGGCCGACAAGACATGTGACGTCACGGTTCTCATTCCCTCTCCTCTTCGCTTCATCCTCTTAAGGTGGTAAACCGAAGCGAGGAGGAGAGAAACGATGCAACTGACACTCATTCTCAACTGTTCCAGGAGGATTGTGACGTCACAGTCCTCGCTTGATCGCGCACTGCTTTTTAAAAAATTTGGCCATCCATTTGAGATGTCAATGTATGAGAGATGTTTTGGAGTTCGTAGCATCCCATTCAACGCTTCTGCGGCCTTATTTTGCAAACTCAAAATTTAGAACCTAAGAGACTGAAAATAAATGAAACATGACACTGTACACCTGAAATGTTGCAAGTGGAAAGGAGATTCAACTGTTGCACCCATAGCGGATTGATCACACACTTATTTTTAAAAAATACGGCCACCTATAAGGTTCACTACAGTACCTCGGGTGCTATATGTTCGCATAAGGCGAGGTAATCTCCGACAGAGACATATATGTCTTGTTTTGTACCAGACCACTCAACTTGTCATAATCATCATTTATTTTCCTTGAGGGCCCGTGGGGCATTATACAAGGGGGTGGCAATAAAACAAAAAGTAAAACAGTAAACACAAATATAACACTGTAAGCTAGTTAGTATTGAATATAAGCTTTTGATTAAGGGATCTTACCTTTCCTGGCTGCACGGGTCTCCTGCAGAGTGGTCCCACTAGCCTGTACAGCTCCAAGTCGTGAAGAGGTGGGCTGCACCGCGTCGCATTCATCGGAGATCGGGGCGGGGGCCGGGGGTTGCGACGGACCGTGATCTCTGGCCGGAGCATCTGTTGGTGGGGAAAATGACCCCCACCCTTGTCGGCTTCTCCTTACCAAACTTAAAAAAATGCCAACTTCAATCTGTCAGTTTTAAAATGCAGGTTTACATGCCTTGGGATCTGTGCTTTATGGGATATAAGAAAAACTACTAGAACCTTTATGGTTCTCAACAATGTATGTGCAGGAGCACCACTTGCCTACTTAGTCAACTAGTTAGATATGTCCACAGATGTAAGCTTTGTAAAAGCCACAACCATTCTTTGAATCCTTCTACTAAGAATAAAACATGCTCATTTCAAAAGTACCTAATGTGGGATTGCCTCATCACTTCTCCATACTACTTTTATTCTGTTTCATAGACTATAACTACACCTTCCACTAGCCTAACCTAGACTTAAAATAAGGTCTTCGAGGGACATTGACAGGGTACTTATGCATGCCAATGTTTTTATTTGACATGACCTATGAGAGCCCAACTACACAGAACACACACAATTTGCAGCTCGAAATTTATATTCTTTCCGCCTGAAAACCGCTGGTCAAGAATCAGCCAGTTTCTGATGCCCTCAGTCTCTTTTCCACGGTCACGTGCCACTAAAACTGATGCGTACCAAATATACTCAAACACATTCAATATTAAAAATAGAAAAGGATATGAGACCCATTTTTTGTGGCTTCCAAGAAGCTGCAAATACGCTGATCGAAAAAAATGCTGCACGGGTTACAGGAAGTAGATGTACACATCATTCTCAACATGACAATGTATGCAAACTAAATGACTCGATGGCAATGCACAGCGGACCAACGTTGCAACGAACGTGGGAGTGCTACGTCTGAACTGCGGTTCGTGGTACCGGCCAATCGATCTTCAAGCACAGAACAGCGATGGGAAGGTATATAAGTGTGAAACAATTGCACGAGAAACGGTTCAAGCAACGTCGTCATTGTCACTGTCTGCATTACACGCCCGAAAAGTGGAAGAACGGAAAAAAAACTGGGTAGGGAGCGATAGCAACGTGACTTCCGGCAACTCTCTGTTCCGAAACTTTATGCACATGTTTCAGTTTCAAGCAGTTGCATTTTTTTCCTTTATTAAATATGTGTGACTGTAGTAAAATATTGATTGGATAGTCTTCTGACACCATACTAAATCACCTGGCAAAAAATTTAAAACAAATTTTTGGGGGGTGTCTGTGTCTTTTTTAGATAACATCACAGAATTGGTATTAAACAGGCTTCAGCGAAAAAATATTGAAAATATAGCAAAAAAAACACTAATGAATATCAAATTATGGTCAACTAAAGCTTGCAATTCTCAACACTTTCTTTCCGATTAAATTCAATTGAACACAACAAAAAGTGTGTTGCTTGACCTTTAATTATAAAAAAAATGAGTTTTCACAGTCAAAATCAGGTGTCAATGCTTAATAGCACCGTAGCATCGGCAAAATGCCCCTGTAATATAGATGTGCCGGTGCTGAGCTGAGGCTCGAGTGTGAACTTCCACCTGATATAAGTGTGGCAAGAAACCCAATGACAGCTCAAGAAATAGATTCTATTCTACATCTGTCCTCCGAAGTGGTCAATCCTTCTTCGGAACCCTTCGCGACAGCACCGCTTGTGCGAGTGCCTAGCCAGACCCCCACCTGCAGAAGCGACGCCCCGACACCGGAGACCAGGGCCAGGTCTTCGACCTTCTTGAAGCCCCCGATGGCCTGCCTGTAGTCCACGATGTTCCTGGCCAGGTGCCTGGTCACCCTTGGGAGGGTCATGAGCTCCTCCTCCGTGGCCACATTCACGTTCAGCTGCTCCCAGTGCACCTCCGAGTCGGTCGCGTGGAAGGTGGCACTCAGGTTGCGGCTGTGGGCACCGAAGGGGTGGCACAGGGACGACAGGCGGCGCCTTCTGCCCCCTCCGTTGGCCACAGTGTGCGCCTGCCCCATGGCTCTACCGCTGCCGCCTGGTGTCCGCCCTCCTCCAGAGTCGTTCACCCTCACCCCCAACTGGAAAAGATGCCGTGACAAAAGAGGCCGTGAAGAAAAGTCAGAGCGACTGGCACTTTCCGCATGCGGCGCTTTTGTGGCCAGTATAACGCCAATACAAAAGCGGTTGAAAAAGTGCTGGGGGCAAGATGGGCACACCCCACGAGGAAGCATTTCAAAGGAAAGAAGTCTTGTACCTGACCCCAAGAAATGGCAGGTATTTACAATCATGGGCGAGATATGATTGCCGTCACAATTTTAGTACTACCGTAATATCCAGAGAAATAGTGCATATAAAACCGAAAGCAAATCGGGTGTAAATAAGGAGCAGGCTAACTTTCGGTGTGCAATCAAAAAAAGTTAAAAACTTGCCAGTTTTAGATTTTGTGACCTGCGAAATTTGTGAATTGCTGGGAGGGGCAATGAACTGCAGACGACTGTCCTTCTCAGTCAGCAATCTTCACTTATCTCCCGTCTTGCCTAAGTACAACACCATTTCTGCCGAGGTCACCGTTGGCCAGGGCCCTACAATTACTAGAAATGAGCCATCTTTCGGTATTTTTGAAAAATAGTAAATCGTACCATAAATAGGGGGCGGGTTATGTTTCGGGGTGGGGCACCTCTAGGGAGATATACGGTAATACTAAAGGCAGTTAAAAATGGACAGCAATTCAAATGTGAAAGCAGGTTGCTTTTACTTTGTATAAACTTATAAGAAGCGACACATAAATCAGAGTAACCTACTGCAGCCTTGGAGGACGAAGCAAACAAACCCTCAATGAGTGAGTCTGGAAATGAACTGAACTGATAGTGACTCTGTAAATCGCCTAAATCAGGCTGCAGCTCAAAGTTTGGTAAAAAAAACTTATAAAATGCTTTCAAGGGAACTTCTCCTTCTATAAACTCGTTTCAGCTCGGTGAACAGCCAAAATATCTCTATTTCCTCCAAATCAAAGCTATACTTACGGGCATTAAGCTGTCACAGTCGATGGCTGACAGAAAGAAGCCCACAATCAAGATTTTGGCGGTGATTCAAATATTGGTATCATCCATACATTTCGAAAGACGAGTGTCACCTTCCTTATCGTGACGTCTTCGCCACAATCGCCCAAAACAGAGGCGAGGAGAGCTTATCAGTTCATAATCAGTCTGGCATGAAAAACCCGTGCGTATGTGGCGAGTGTTACAAAAAGAGCCTCTCGGTGAAGAGATCAAGTGCTTCTGGACTAGAGAAATGTCAGTGCCCAAATGCAATGTGGATACAGATTGCATTTGCATTTATCACATTCTCTGTAGTTATGCACATTTGCTTGGAAATGCACTTAAAAGTTCAAAGTAAATAACAATCTACCCACTTTACTCTAGGAAATATGTCCAAAAACCATAGCAGGTGGAGAAAGCGCGTTCCATAATTTGAAAATATATATTTTTTAATTGTAAGGATATTGCTAAGTTCTAAGCCATTACTTAGAAGCCGCAAAAAGAAGCCAACATTTTGCAAAGACTTGGCTGCTTTGGACTCTTATCGATCTCTTCTTACAAGCTTTTTAATATCCTCATGCTCTTAATATGAAGCAATGCCGAGAAGTACCGATAAGCAAACTCCAATAGAAAAAAAAACAAAAAACAAAACAATACTAGCTGCTTAGTGACTGAGACAGCAGACCTGTGCTACGACTGCTCGACACAAGTATAATGACCTTTGCTGAATGCTTCCACAGCAAAATGTGGCCAATGTGTCCTCATGTATGAAGAACCCCTTCGTGAACTTGAGTGATTGGTAAAAACAGGAGTCACGTCACCAAGCAAATGAAGATTGGATTTCACTCTCGCTTGATTTTACCAGAGGACCATAATTAAGTTGTTCTGTCCTCCGATAAACAGACGTTACCAAAACACATTTACAGAATCTCCGGCAAGTAGGAAATCCTCACCCAACTGGAATAGCTAGAGGACCTAAAAGTTGCCTATAAATGAGCTCACCCAAATGCTGCAAAGGATGAGAGTTACTTCAGAAGACAAAGCATCATAGGTGTGGTAACTGTACTGTTTTTCAAGAGTCAAGTAAAGAGGTATGTTTTTGTTAACTTCGTGCACATCAGCTATCATTTCGTGCATCAGCAGCTTTGCGTCGATGTTGTTTTCACCGCTCATATCAACTGATATTCCTGCTTTTCTGCTCGGTGTATTATTTGCTCTGCATCAGAAAAGTGCACTGCTCAGCCCACTGCAAGCTGCGTCCGCATTCTAGATCACCTTAACACTGACCCCTGTTATCTTAGCAAGATTAACAAAGACAATAGGTACAGACAAATGCACGCACCCTATCGTGAACAATAAAACAGTAACATGTACCAGGCCAATCTGAGTTGAGGCATTTTCATTACAGCACTAAAGAAGGAAGCTGAGAAATACAGTTTTCAGATGAACATTCATAACTGTGCTTATCATTTTACAAACGCAGAACGTTTGAAAACAAAACAGCCACAAAGATGATGGCAGACATGTCGCAGAGAACCATAGCTTGTAAATAAGAAATGTGGAGGTACTTTCACCAAACACCAGCAAACTCTAGATAAGATTTCTGAGAGTCAGAGCCGTATATGTAGAGAGTTTGGCCATTCGTTGGGAAGTATAAGAGACAAATGAGGAGGCGCCATTGGCTGAAACCGGGCTGGGCGTGTTCCAGGGCGTCTTCAGAAACTCGAATGTGACCAACCAGAAGCCGGAAATAATACCCTGGCGGTGGTCGCGAGAAACAAACCTGATAACTGCATTAGAGTAATTCTCGATGACTAAAAATATGGTACACATGATTTTCAATCACGCTCATCCAAAATGATGGTGGAAGAGTGCGACTAGCGGAACGATCGACATAATCCGTACGCCAACCGCCGAGGGCCGGGAATCCGCCGTCCGAGCGGTCACACACTGTCCGAGCAAAACAGAGTTGAGCGGCGCATTCGTTTCTTACATCTTTCTGCATGATCATGATCAAAACAACACGTGCACCCTATTTTCAACCACAAAGAGTTACTACACTTCACTCTTACGCGCTTATTAAAACCATTTACGAACATAGACCTTTGATCAGAACTGCTTCTCGCTACCACCGCTAGGGGATTCTTTTCGGCTTCTGGTTGGCCAAGAGAGCATGTGAAGCCCACTTTCTTCGTGTGGTGAACACCCTGACTCTGCCGGCGCCTCCCATTGACCAAACTCTCTACATATACGGCTCTGCTGAGAGTCATAGGCTTCCTGCACTGAAGCTTTGAATGTATCGTTACGCCCTCCGGTGGCGGGTGATAGAGTGTCTGAGTAGTACAAATCCCGCGGCCCCGCAAAATAACAAGCATTTTAGGGCGGCTGTTCTGCACACAGCCGTTATTTGTGCATTAACGTGGTCACAACTCAAAATGTGTCACTCATTGTCGTCACTGCACAATGTTACCCCGGGGATGCGAGCTCACCGCAAACTACTAGTCATTTTTCCTTCATCCAAGCATGTTGAAACCAGGAGCAACAAGCACGGCCTCAATGTGTTCAAAACGTCACCATCGACAGTACTATTTGCATCGTCAACTGTGAAAAACATAAAGGGCTTTTAACCCCGGCGTAAACTTCTACGGATTCCCATCGAAATCGCACAAAGTCAAGCGGAGGGAACGATACTAGCCACCCAGCGCACTGAGGGAGCGAGACAATTGTTTTTCTTGCCCTCCAGGTTGTTCTGCTAAGCACAACTATACAATCAAGCGGCCATGGCATACATTGAAACGTGTGTCATGCGAATTTTACAAAGAGGAACACGCTATACTCTCCGACCAGTGGGATCAGTGAGGTCAGCAGTAAAAGCCCTGCCTCCAGCGAGAGCATTCCTTTGAAAAGACAAGCGCGCATGCGCACCAACACACTACAGAGGGCAAGAAGCATGTGCTGAAGGGGGAGCTCTTACTGCTGATCTTATGCTGCGTCAAGCTTACAGCAGAAATATGCAAGAAAAGCTGCAAGAGCTCGAGAAGCAGTATGCAATAGGAACAATCTGCTCAGCCGACAGACGGCAGGTTGCCGCTAGATCGATTGCGTCTGCTTTTACGCATTTTGAAGGTTGGTCATCAGCTTATCGCGTTGGCTGTGCGGAGGGACTGCAGTTTGGGAGTTTTTTCTTACAAGGTGCATTAACGTATCTCGTAATGCTCACCTCAAGCTTGACATCATAGCAAGCTCGCTGTTTTTGCGAGTGACAGCATGCCTACACCAAATATGCAGCTTCTCGTACGGCGTAGATGAAGCTTGCAGTAGCATGCATCACTGGGTTTCTTCCCTTTCCGATGTGTTGAGGAACGAAAAAAGCTTTCCACGTTAGGAATTGGCTCGATTCTGTACTGTAAAATAATTGCGAGGGGGAATTCATTTAGCCGGCTAATGTTTTCACACTGGACAAATTCAAATGCGCATGTTTGTGCTACCCAATAACGATAAACAAATTGTAGGGGGCGCTAAACGCCAAATTTAATGCAGTGCCTCCTGGGCAAAGCAGGAGGCATATATGACTGTAGTATCCAGAGCCGTATATAGAGAGAGTATGGCGTTCTTTGGGAAGTATAGGAGGCAAATGAGGAGGGTGCCATTGGCCAAAGGCGGGACGGGCGTGTTTCAGGGCATCTTCAGAAACTCGAATGTGGCCAACCAGAAGCCGGAACTAATACCCTGGCAGTGGTCGCGAGAAAAAAAATCAATAAGCGCGTCGCAGTAACTCTCAATGACTGAAACTATGGTGCATATGATGTTTGAATCATGGCCATCTAAAACCATAGAGGAAGAGCGCGACTAGTGGAGTGATCGACATAATCCGTACGCCAGGCACCGAAGGCCGGGAATCTGCTGTCCGAGCGGTCACACGCTGTCCGAGCCAAACAGAGTTCAAGCGTCACATTCGTTTCTTACATCTTTTTGCACGTTCATAATCGAAACATCACCATATTTTGAAGCATGAAGAGTTCCAACATTTAACCCTTATACTCTTATGAAAACTGTTTCTTACTACCACCGCTAGGGGATTTTTTTCGGCTTCTGGTTGGCCAAGAGAGCAAGCCCTCTATCTGCGTCCGGTGCATGGCCTGACTCTGCCCGCTCATAACAAAGTTGACAAACTGCAAGCTCTTCATAGGAAACTGAGCAATTAACAGACCCAGTCTAAGTTTGTCATGCACCTAAAAGAAGAAAATATTTACATATGTAAACATGTCATTATTAATAATAATAACAATAATAAGAATAATAATTAGAATAATAGTGAGTGCTAGACAGGGCCGTAAAGTAAACTTGATGGACAACCTTTTCTTTCCTTTTTTTTCCTGCTCTATCCGGGAGCCGGAGGGGAACCTATCGTGACCTTCATTTACGGAGACCAAAGCAAATTAAACATACTTTTTTTTTTTCGTCATACAAAATTAGCGCACGGGCTTTATGAACTTTTAAAGGGATACTTCAACGAAATTTGAAATATTCCCGTCGTGTTCAAAAATAGGTTGAATATGATCCACAATATCCGTAAATGACAATCGCACGTTTGTATTTTGATCCTGGTGGCTGTATTTTTCGTTATAAACGGTCCACTCTGGCAAGCGCTTCGAGAAGGCCCAGCTTAGAGCACGTGACATCCAACGCAATCGTGACGTAGGTCGTCTCAAGACGAGCAAAGCTACGGCGAGGCTGACGTCGAGAGGATGGCCTAGTCGTTTCCAGCCACCGAAGCGGCTGCTTTTGTATGAATTTTGAGTGACGGGTTAATCTTCTATAATCTTCTAGGGGGACAATAGCGACTTCTGCGACACACAAAAGGGATTCTCGGGAAGAGGGGAGTTCCTCCTTCCCCCCTTCTCTCGTCGTGGCCGGAGACGAGACAACCTCCGTCACTAGCTGTCAAGGTTCCTAGACGGACATTACAAACGAGGCGTTAGCGACATCCACCAGGTGCTCTTTGCTAATCGTTTAATTCGTTTAAAATTCCTTTTCGAGACTTTTTTAACAAGATATTGGTATGTTACAAGTGATACTGCTCTTTTGAACACATATAGACCAAAAAATGAGCACCGAAATTTCGTTGTAGTATCCTTTTAAGGAAGTGTCCGAGTTTCACGAGAATTCGCGAAGACGAAAAAATGAAGCGTGAAATCAATGAGAAAGGCATAAACGTTTGCGCCATGCATAACTCATTAAAAAAAAAAACAAAAAAAAAAACAGGCGAACACAAAAGAGGAGCTCTAAAACTGGAGATGTGCTGTGCCCCATCCGCTTTTGCTTTTCATCCTTCGATGTCAAGGTTTGCGGCGCGCCGTG